ATCTTAGTGGCTCAGGAGGCCAAGGCAGGAGGATTGCTAGTTCAAACCCAGCCTCAGCAACTTAGCGAGGCCCTAAGTAACTCAGCAAGATCCTGTCTCTAAATAAAATATAAAAAAGAGTTGGGGATGTGGCTCAGTGTTAAGCACCCCTGAGTTCAATCCCTGCTACCAAATTAAAGAAAAAAAAAAAGAATTTTAATTTACTTGGAATGAACTTTTTTTGTGGTGTGAAAATAATTTAATTTTCCTATACAGATCTATACTTGTCACAGCAACATGCATTATATAGCCTAACCCTATTGGTTCTGTTGATCTGCTGTGCCAAGTCTGAAAAGATGAAATATGCTTGGGATTGTTTCTGTGCTGCGATCTACTTGTCTCTCTACACTACTACATAATTTTAGCTTTAATAATACCTTTTAATGTTTGTATAGAAAGTTCTCTCACCTTCTTTTCAGAATTGACTTGACTCTTGTGAAGTTTTGTGGAACTGTTAGGTTTTTGGTTGGAATTCTTTACTTTAGGGAATAAATAATTTTATGACATTGGCTTTTCTTATCTACAAATGCAGAACATCTTTAGATTTGTTTAGAACTTTAGTTTCTCAATAACATTTTATAATTGTCTTCAGGAAGGATTGCACATTATTTGTTAGGATTATTCCTGGGTATTTTTATTTTTTTTTTCCTGGGTATTTTTATATGTTAAATATTCTTAGGAAATTGATTCTCTTGTTTCCAATAATGCCTTAAAGTTTATCTATATTAATAACATTACATGTGTTTTCTTTTATTAGAATTTACCTGGAGCATATTTTTCCTATCTTTTCAGTTTCCTCTTTGTCTTTCTATTTCAAGAGTGTGTCTTGTGAATACACTTAATTAGGTTTAACATCAACAAAAAAATTCTGATTATTTTTATCTTTTCCTGGAGAGTTAGATTCACTCAAATTTAGTACTATTGCAAATATGTATCTACATAACTTTCTTCTTTTTATGTCCTTTCAATTTGTTCCACTTTTTGAAATTCCTTTTTTTTTTTTTTGCTGGGAGGGAGTGTGGTAGAGTGTGTGCTTAGTATGAACCATGTCGTGGGATTAATCTTTAGTACCAAAAAGAAAAAAAAAAAAAAAAGAACGTTTTTAAGTTTTTCAAAAACTCTGTGATTTAAGCATGCTAACTTATTTTGTAAACCTCTGTGGTTTCATGCAAAATGAAATGTCTAAGCCATACTGTGGTAGGAGGTTGCTGTTACATCAAAGTAATTTTATACTTGATGTAATTTCTACTTCTGCACCAGCATCATACCATTTTAATCAGAACAACTTTATAATAATTATAGCTTAATAATTAATAGACCAGACCCAATCTAGGTTCTTCTTCAGATATTCATGGTGTTTTAGCCTTCAAAATACTTTAAAAAATAACCTAGACTAAATCTTATATTGATAAATGTAGTATACATATATGTCTTTGTGTATTTATGTTTTTTGGAACATTAATTTTATTAACATTTATTATTTATTAATAAATTTATTAACATAAAATTAATAAAATTTTATAATTTTTCTAAAAAAACTTTTAAAATTTTTTTGTTACTCTATGTATGCTTACCAAAGTCTAAAAAAATTACCAATACCTATTCTTTCTCCCAGAGTCTCCAGGATCTTAAAACACTTTAACTCTTATTACCTACTTGCAAATGATATGCTATTGTTGTCCAGGACTTAAAATATTGTTGTTACATAATTCTGGGGATAATATTCCCTGAGAATTCATAATCACAAGTAAGACCCATGTGAGTTTAAGAACTAAATTTATGTTAACTAAACTATGCATTCCAAGAAAATTAAACAAATAATTTAATTTGGAGTGGTCCCAGGTTGGCAGTGACCCTTAGGCAACTCAGAGAAATAAATACAAGTCATCTCTGGAGGAACTCAACTCAACCCAGGTCTCAAAGGATTTCCACACATAAATATTCAAAGGAAATGACATGCTCACAGATAAATAGCACGAAGAAGGAAAAATGTACCACGAGAGAGAACAAGCAGAAACAATACACAGAAAAAAAAAAAAAAAAAGACTCACAAGGTCTTCAGGTATTGAAATTGCTTGACATGGAATATAAAATAACTGTTTTAAAAATTGAAAGAAACAAAAAAGAATTCTAAAATAGAAAAGAGATTTGGGTGTTTTGGACTTGAACAAGAATCAAAGAGAACTTCTAAAAATGAAAAATAAATACCATGTTGTATTGAGTACAAAACAGAATTGATTATAAGAAGGACCATCATTTTTATGTGTCATCAAAAATACTGCCACTTATCATTAGAAGCTGTCACTGCTTGTATGATACATCCTGATTTCAGAGATGTTAAAGTGAAAAAAAAAAGTTTCAGGATCAATGAACTGTAGCCATTGAAATTTAAAAATTAGCAGATCGATTAAATTGCAGAGTAAATCCAGCTGATGACCATAACCCACTTGAATCTAATGTATGAAATATGATATGTCAAGAGCTTTGTAATGTTTTAAACAACCAATAAAAAAAAAAGAAACAAATATTTGATACAAATAAATTTTCCAGAATGCAGCCCAGAGAGACAGTGAAATAGAAATACAACTGGATGGTTCAAAGTCATGGAGGACAACATGAGAAGGCCAGATATCTATCTAATCAAAAGTTTCAGAGGAAGGTAATGGAGAGAGACAATATAATGGTTGAGAAATTTTGGAAATAGGAGAAAGAGAGCAATACCCAAATGAAACTAAATGATCCTGAAGCCGGAGAGAACAAAAGAAATCTGTACCTAGATATATTATGTATCTGAAGAATACATGATAATAAAACTTTAGAACATCAAAGGCAAAGAGATCTTCAAAGCAACTGGAAATGGAAAAAGATCTCCTAAAAAACCCAAAGTGGACTAACTGATTAAATAGAAAAAATGGAAGCCAGAAGACTGTGGAATAATATTTTCAACGTGTTTTGAGAAAAACAATAATCAACCAAGAAATTATACCCACTGAAACTCTTCCAAGAATGAGAGCAAAATAAAGAATTTCCAAATAAATAAAAACAGAGACTTTTGCTCAAGGAAAGTTTTATAAAATAGACTTGAAGCAGATGGGAACACAATCCTCGATGTGGTACACCTCACAGGGGGAAGATGGAGAATGCCAGTGTTCTGAGGAATCCTCCGGGGAAGGTTTGTTTACCTCTCAGGTGTCTGCCTGGCTTTGACAACTTTCTGGGATCTTTAAATACTTAACTTTTGCGCCAAAGCAGTGATGAACTTAATAAGTTGTTATTTTATATTTTATCCTGCATTTGAGTTGTTTCATTTGGACAGGATTGTTTAGGTATTTCATCTGCCCACCTGCAGGAAATACAAGTAAGTCTTCTGACAAGATTTCTTTAGAGTAGCAGGGCAACTTAGTGAGACCCTGTCTGAAAATAAAAAAATAAAAAAGGCTGGGGATGTAGCTCAGTGGTTATGTGCCCTAGGTCCAATCCCCAGTACTGAAAGAAAAAAAAAAAAGTTCCTTTCGAATAAACCAGTTGACCTGGTGTCCATCTTTCCCATCCTCAGAGTATAACATGCCTTCCTCTCATAAGCACATATACCAGCTCTATGTTTACCTTTGCCTGTAAGCTGTTTAAATTAATTGTCTACTTACCCCATTAGAAATATAAGGGCCAGAGCTGTGTTACTCTCTGTTTTACTCCCAGACCTCAGCAAGTGTCTGGCACATAGTAGGTGTTCAGTAGACATTTATTGCATAAATGATTAGTGAGTAATTATGAGCTAGAAGCCAATATAAGGTACTAGGTCAAGCACAGCAGTGGGTCTCTGCTTCAAATTTAGCCATTGAACGTGGTGCTTTTAGGGTTGGTGAATTTCCATTGAACTCTGTTGTCCAATCTGGTAGCCATTCACCAACTGTGGCTATTTAAAATGTACCAGAATTAATTAAAAGTAAAAATTCATTTCCTCAGTCACACTAGCCACGTGTCAAGTGGCTAGTGGCTATGCTCTTAGATACTGTTGGTGTAGAACATTTCCATTGTCATAGAAAGTTCCATTACATGTGCCATAGACTTCTCAAGAATTCTTAACTGCTTCTCTCTCTTGCTCTCCCTCTCACTCTCATTCTTTCTCTCTCTCCCCCATCCCTAAACCAAGTACAGGGATAGTTGTTTCATTGTTAGTGACTTAAAATGATGCTTTTGAACAAGAAGATGCTGGGTGCTTTCGGTGACTAGTACCATACCCACTCTTCTTTTAAATCCCTGAGCTATTCTTTACCAGTACGTTCTTTTATTCCCATTGCCACTAAAGCTGCATGTTACTTGGGTGGGAAGAATAATTGCTTTCTTTTCTAGGTCCTTAAACCCTTTGCTAATGTTACTGTCTGGAGAGTTCCCAAAGCCAGGGTTCTAGGTGAGTTTGGCCCGTCTGAAGAGCTGACCCATGAAATAATGGAGTAGGGCAAGAGGGGTGGGGAGCAGGGCCTTCTATCAATAGAAAACCTCCCCTCTCTGCACACATGGCCAGTTAATTGGCCATTCTGGGAAAGTATGGATGGGGAGGGGGGTGCTTCTGAGAATCTCCGGTGATAGTTAAGTGGCCTTTTGTCTGCCCTCTGTGGAACAACTCTCTGTCTCTGTCTTTCCTGTGGATTTTCTGTTCGATTCATCATTTGCCATTCAGGCAGAATCTCTGCTTTGTCCTTCCAATATGATTGCCTTGTGTGCTGGCCTCTGCTTTATTCCTTCGACTCCCAGACCATAAAGGGGATCGTGTGGAGCAGAGGCGATGATTTGCCTAGGGAGAGGAGGCTGGGGAATCGGCCTGGCTCTCCCCATGTGGGAGCCACATGCTGGGTTCCCCAGGGTCTAATGCTCATTCTTGGGCCGCAGCCGCTGGCATTAGGTGCTGTGCTCTCCTGAGGCCTGGGCCGTGCCTGGGTGTGAAGAAAGTCCCTGAAGCTCCCTGGAGGAAGAAGCATGCTGGGTGTCCCCAGAGGAGGGACTGGCAGGCAGATACTCCTGGTCTTCAGCTTTATGCTGGCAGCAGCTTGGGGCCAAATGAATTTCACAGGGTAAGTGGCTGCTCCTTGGCAGGAGGAAGGGCTGACTGTGAGCCAGGGCACCCAGGTGTCAGTCCCAATGTGTGTTTGTGTGCTGGTGGAGGGGCTGTCCTGTTGGGACGGGATCAAGGCAGAAACATCAGGACTTTGGTTTCCATCCAGAACCTATATAGGGCTTCCACCTCCCCCTCTCCTGTTCCAGGGGGGCAGGCCACTCTGTAGCCTTCTCTACCCCTCTGTGTTTTCCAGAGACCAGGTTCTTCGAGTTCTGGCCAAAGATGAGGAGCAGCTTTCACTCCTCAGGGATCTGGAGGTCCTGAAGCCCCAGAAGGTGAGGACTGCCCTGGACTCAGGAACACCCCCACCTGAGCAGCTTGCAGCTAGGCTACCTGTCCTCCTCCCCCTTCCATACCTGCCCTCCTGAGGTCTCCACCAGTGATCACAAAACTGGAAAAATCAAATGTGGCTCCTCTTCAGGAAAGGTTGGGGACACTTGCCCACGAGGTTGGGTGGCCTAAAGACTGTAGCTTTCTTTTCCTCTGTCCTGGATGGGGGGAGGGGGGACGACGACTGCTGAGCAGATTCCCAAAGATAGCCGGAATGTCCTAAAGGCACATGGGAGGCACAGATGTCCCCAGTGGGATGCCATGCAGCATCAAGTGTGGACACATCTGCTTCTCGACTGAAATGGCTTAGCTTAACAAACCTGATTTTATTTGGGTTCATCCTCGTCAGGCCGAGCATTTGTTTCTGAGAACATTTGCCCTCTACAAGTTTTCAAGATGGGAAACATTTTCTTTGTCAATTATAATAGAAGGGTTTTTGTTGAGGGCTGTTGAAGCAATCATAGTTCTGGAAGTGGCCCAAAGCCCTTGCTCTTATATTTGTATGAGTGTCCCCCTCAATGAGGACTTATAACACTTTATATAAGTCCCTACATTTTACAAATTGAAAACCAGATGTAGGACATGGGGCCCCAGATTAAACCTCTCCTGCTTCTCCAGGGATCAGGAGTAGGGAGCACGAGGCCTCCCTCTTCTGACCTGGGTTCTTGTCCGTGTTACTGTCTCATGCTTAGGAATTCGGTGGGGCTCTGTGAATCCAAGCAAAGTTGCAATGGGTGAGAGAGGCTGGGATACAGAGGTGCTTGGAGGTAGGGAAAGAAACTTAGCAATGTGGGGATTTTGTTTATTGGTTCTGGTCTTTCTGGTCACCTGGGTTTTCCTTATGGAACTGGAGTCCTTTGAAATATTAGAGAAAACCATTTGGCTTTCAGGGCACCTACAGGATTGTGTAAAGACAGGCAACAAACACACCTGTTTTCATTTCCATTGTGAACAAGGTGGACTTCTGGCGTGGCCCAGCCAGACCCATCCTCCCCGTGGATATGAGAATTCCTTTCTCTGAACTGAATGACATCAAAGCTTATCTGGAGTCTCATGGCCTTGCTTACAGCGTCATGATAAAGGACATCCAGGTGAGGTCCCACCCTGGCACTGAGGCCAAGGTCTTACCTTCCCCATGGGTTTCTGGTTGGGGCCCATCACAGAGGAAAAACGTTCAGGCTGAAAGCTGACATTTTGCTTCCGGATCTCCATCTGCGTGTTTGTGAACATGCCATGGAAGGAATTAAATTGCACATTTCTCAGGGAAAATGTAAACCTTGGACAGAGTTCCCTGGGTGGGGAGTTCCCATAGTGGGTAAGGATGCTGTGGATGAGTCCTCTTAGGGAAGAATTGGCAGCTAACAGCAAAAAATGGAGACCACAGGAAACAGCTTAGGTCTTTTCCTAAACGCCTCTGATGGCTTCCTTTGTTTTTCTGATTGTCCCCCACTGTCCTCATTGTGTCTTAGCCATGCAATACCAGGGGGGATTCCTTTACTCCAGAGGAGCACTGTGAGCCCTGCCATTCATCCCCGCCGGCTGCATCTCTGTGCAGGGCTGTCTGTGTGGGCTTCTCTCCCAGGCAGGATTCTCCCAAAGGAACAGCTCTGGGTGAATGGATGCAGGCCAGACCTAGGATAGGGCAAAAGGAGCCCTCATCCCGGGCAGCCCTCAAACTCCCCGACCCCACTTGGTGCCGAACCTTTTAGCCACTCTTCTGAACTTGCAGGAAATTCTATTTCAACTGTTCTGTCTTCAAGGATTTCACTAAGCCTCTGAGCTGTACCCTTCTGCCCGTGCTTTACTGACTGCGTACCTGCGGAATTGTATCCACAGATTCATTCCCAGCCATGTTGTTCTGCACGGATCTTCTCGAGGACCCTGAGTGTGGGAACACGGAGCCTCCCAGAGCGCACACACTTGACACCGCATGCCAAGGGATAAACGCATTAAGCGGCATTCCTTTCCCATGCGAGCACAGGGCTGGGGCACTTGGGTCCATTCAAAGTCCTTTATCCCTCCTCAGGCACATCTGTTTCCCGCTCAACATGTGGGGGTGGGATGTTTCTCTAATTAAATCCCCCACAAACAAAATAGGGGAAACTTGCACAGACAAAAGAGGCTACCACATCAAAAGAAATAGAACTTAATTCCCATTTTTAGCTCATGCCTCTATTTTGAAGTTCGTGTTTCCCTGCTTCTGCCTCGCCCTGGGAACCCCGCGGCATTTGGCAAACAGATATGCAGAGGCTTGAAAATTTTTCTGTTGATTTTTGCACATCAGGGACAGTCCCAGAGTCACCTCCGAGTCTCCCCATTGCCCGCCTCTGGAGCTGGTCCTCTGTATTCTTCTCTGCCCCAGGCCCTATCCCCCTGGGGCTTTACATTCCCAGGAAAATGTCCCCTCACCCCATCTCTCTCCACCCTACCCAGCCTGGCAGGATTTTCATTCACCAACTCACTCTCTGCAAAGCATCACTCTCCCAATGCCATCCTTGAGGTCACTCTGTGGCTTAGAGGGTGCTGGGGGTGGGGAGAGGCTGGTTGATTTGTGGTGATGATGGTGATTTGTGGGGAGGGATCCAGGAGAGGACGGCTCAGAGGTGCTGACAGGACCGCAAGGGCTTTGCACCATTCAGGTTGTTGGCCACCAGATTTATTTCAGATAATGACACAAAAGCCTGATTTTTCTGTCTGTTCTGTGGATCATCTCAGCCCCAGCACTTGGCATAGGGTCCCCTACATAGTGAGCCCTCGGTAATTGTCTGCAGAATGAATTACTCTGTTGGCAGGTTCAGGACCGGCTTGGGCAGAGGGTCCTTATTGACACATTGTCTTTTGTCTCCCTGGCCCCCTCCCCTGGTACTCCTCTGGGTTCAGTCGCATGCATCTTTCCCCTCCCCCCCCCCACCACTTAGTTGGGGCTTCAATCAATGTTAGTTGAATTAATGGATGTGAGGAGGAAAGGAAAAAGGAGAAGGTGTGTTGGGTGGCCAGGGCCAGGCTGAGAGGGAGCGTCAAAGTCCTTGCTGCAGGCTTAGGCTAGAGGCTCAGGAGATTTTTGAGGAAGGAAAATTCTCCCCTTCCCCTGGCTCTGCTTGGGAAGGATGAGGTGGGCCTGTTCACTCCACCCAGAGACATAGAGATGCCTACTGTGTGCTGAGTATTGGGCAAGGTGCTGGAAATACGGAGATTTAAAAATCCAGCACTGTTTCCAGGGGAGCTGGAGAGCGTGGGGGATGGGAGGGAGGGAGTAAGCGGTGATTACAATGGAGTGGTTGGGAGCGCTGGAGTGAGAGCAGGTTGCCATGGGAGCAAATACAAGAGGCACTGCACGTCGCGGTGCTGAGAAGGCGGTAATTACTGTGTGGCTGAAGAGAAGGGAAGGGGGGCTGGGGAGAAGGGAGCCCCCACCCTGATTGCGGCTGAGGCTGGACCCCATCCTCCGCCCTGTGCAGAGGTCAGGATCTTCCCCCCCCACACCCGGAAAAATGGTGGGGGAGACTTCGGAGGGGCTTTGACACCATCAGATTTGCATTTCAGAAAAACCACTCTGACAGTGACAGTGTTGAGTCGGGGACAGGGCCAGGGAGAGACTGACAGGCAGGAGGGTGGTGAGGAAATTGCAGTGGGCCAGGCAAGAAATTATCTGATTCCGAGTGAGCTCTATTTGCATTTAATTTTTCTTCACCTCCTCGTTCCTTTCAGCCCTTGGTGTTTTTTTTTTTTTTCCTTAGGATGAGTCACCATGGAAAAGCTTCACTTGAGCAATCAGCTCTGTGGATTTTAATGGCTTTTTTCTGATTACAAAATTAATAAATATTCATGTTAGATAATTTGAAAAATAGGGGAAAAGCATAAGAAGAAAACAAAAATCACCCATGCTCTGACCATCTAGATGGGAATACAATTTAGTGTAAATATTGCCTCAGCAATTTCCTCCTCTCTCCTGGATCATTTCCATTAGCATACAAATGGAGAGTTATTTATCCCATCTTTAAAAATCCTCTCTTGATCCCATCCCTTGCCCCTCCAGCCATCACCCCAATTCTCTGCTTCTCCGTAGGGTAAAACTTCCAGAAATGTTGACTTTTTATACTTGTCTGGCCTCCTCATCCCCACCCGGATTGTTCCCCCTTATACACCAAAGCTGCCTCCCATAATGGCGCCCAGAACACTAGGTTCAGCTCAGTTGTCAGCTCTCAGGATTCATCACGACAGGCACATCTGGTCCAGCTGTTCCCTGCATCAGGCCTCTTCTCTGGGCTTCCAGAACACTGCTATGTCCTGGCTCCCTGGTTGTTCCTTTGTCCATAGTTGTCCTGTTTCCAGCTCTGTCCTTGGACTTCCCCTCCATTCCCTCATCCAGGATCATGGCATCACATCCCTTCAACCTCCTCCCTTATTACGTTTCAGCCAGTGCCTCTTCCTGAACTCCCCTGCTCACCATGTCCATTTGGTGCCCCATGAGCATCTCAGGTCCAAACCAAGCACCCCCAGCCCCACCTGCTCCTCCACAGCTGTCCTCAGCTCAGGAAACAATGTTATCATTCTTCCAGTCACTCAGGCAAGAAACTTAGTCACTGTTAATTGTGGTGGATTGGATGTGGGGTGTGAGAAAAGAACCAAGTCTTATTTCAAAAGTTCCCCTTCTTCTCACCCCCTTTCCCAACTCCCTATCTCCTCCCCCTGCTCCACTCTTTTCCTTGGCATTGAACACTGCATCTCGTTGTCTATAATCGACGTCTTTATCTCATTGGTGTTCTGCATTCCTTGCTAGACTGGAAGCTTTATGAGGCAGATGGTTTTCTTTGTTGGCTGCCATGTCTTTAGTGCCTAGCACATAGGATATGATCAACAAAAACATGTTTGCTGGAAGGAAGGGTTTCAAATGGGAAAATGCTGTTGGTTGGTGTGGGGGTGGGTGGCACTCTAAAAAAGGAGAGGGTGACAGTAGGGAGGATTACAGAAGGCAGGGAAGAAGGGACAATCATGGGCAAGACTCAGAGGGAGAATCAGAGTCTGACTATGTCAAGGGGGCAGGTTCACAAGAGGACCCAGGCTGTGCTGTTGGTGCTAACTCACCCAAATGACCAATAGTGGGACTATATGCCATCCAAACCTGACAGATGCCATATTTCCTCTGGAATCCAGATTTTCTAGTCCTTTTTTTTTTTGGCACTAAAGATTGATGTAGGGGTGCTCTACCACTGAGCTATACCCCAGCATTTTTATTTTTATTTTGAGACAGGGTCTTGCTAAGTTTTTGAGGCTAGCCTCAAATTTGTGATCCTCCTGCTTTAGTCTTCCGAGTAGCTGGGATTACAGGCATGCACCCACTTAGCCATGCCTTATAACGATCCATGACCCCAGGAATAATTATTGTCTTTGTTATCGTCCTCGGCATCTTCATCATAGCCAGCATTTGCTGGCATTGGCTACATGCCTAGCAACATATAGTAATCCTTCTAATCCTCATGAGAACAACTTTAAAGCATGTGCTAACATATGCAATAACATGATTCTTGTTTCATGAGGGGAAACTGAGGCACAAAAAGTTAATAATTTGCCAAAGTTAGCAATAGTGTCAGGGTCTAATCTGAGGCAGCCTGGATCTGGGACCTGTACTCTGCCCCTGCAGTTGGCTTCCTCGGCAGTAATGAGGTGTTTAAACTTTGTGATCAATGAAGTTGTGGGGTCCCTTTTAAAAACATCAGATCAGGAGCCCCTCCCCATGTATGTTGCCTGTGGACTGTTCAGGATGTTGGCCATGTAACAAATACAGGCCTAATTGAGAAAGTCAGGAACAGTCAGTGTGGAGCTCCCCACCAGGTCCCATGAGCTGCGGCCATTTATGTCTGGGGTCGGAGCTCTGTGACCGCGGTCTGCCTCAGTCTCTTCCTCTCCCCCATCTTGGGGGGGTGCTGTTCTTTGCCTAGTGCCCCCATCCTCCCTTTCCTTGTCATAAGTTAGCTAACACCAAGGTATTACTGCCCCTGTCTGGTTATGGCTTCCAGGGAGGCAAATGGCTAATCTGCTGAGTTTCTTCTTTTTTTCCAGAGGAGTCTGACAGGGTTTTAACAGGCATCCTGAGCCTGTGGTAAGGCCACATTCTTAGCTCTCCTCTGTCTCATCCCCTTCCCTGGACCCTAGGAAGGGAGCAAACATCTGTGCAGTTTTCAGGCCAGGGTAGATTAATGTTCCTGGAATTGGGGCCCAGCTGCCAGGACCTGAACATTCCCAACTCCTAAGAGGGTGTCACATCCATTCACAAGCCTGGGAGGGTGTTTAGAAAGCTATTTGCAGTTTGGTGCCGATTTCCATTTGCCTCCAAGCTGTTTTGTGGAACAAAGGATGACCTCCTGGGAGCTGTGTATGTTCCTGGCTGCAAACTGGGCCCTCTGGTCCTTTCCTCCTAGTTTCTTCTCCTGCCTTCCATATCCCGCACCCACCCCTTCATGCACTCCACCAGGCCCTTGGAGATTAGACCTCCAGGCCCCACAACTTCATTCCCATGAGGCCAGAGTGGGGACCAGGCTGCCCTGGCCCAGCTGCTGTCCCCCTTGCAGCTGCTCACCCAGCTGGTAGCACCAGTCCATAATGGTGGGCACACATCCGTCACGGTGGGCCTGCCCAGAGATGGGTGGATTTTCTGGGAAGAAGACACAGTCTCTTTGTTAGAGCTTCCCAGGGTGGTGCTCCTGAGTAGCCATTGAGAGCTCCTCCAGCCATGTCTAATTTAACCAGTAATCCCAGTTTTGCCCAACTGGGAACCCCAGACAAGCCAGCTCAGCTATAGAAAACAGCAATTACGTTGCCTAGCATGTGGTCAGTGCTCAAACATAAAGTAAAATGATCTCCAGGCACCAATTCCCAGGTCCTTTTGAAATCTCTGAACTTGAGAGAGCCATGAGCAAGTGGACAGGACCCTCAGAGCTGAGTGCGTCATTGGATAGCAGCTCATCTGTAGCAGGGGAGGAGGGGACCCTGTCTCTCAGCCCAGTGAAGACTTTGCTGCTGTTACCTCATATTAACCATTAGAGCTTTGGATTTGGATATTATTTATTCATTTAATAATTCTTACTTATTAATCTAATATAAGCACATGGCCAAAATGTAAAAAAATAGAGAAGAGAAAACAAATTGCTTGAAATCCTAATTTCTTCTTCTAACAGGCATTGTTAATATTCTGGTGGATTTTTTTTAAGTGTCTTATTTTCCTGTACTTGGGGTTACTTCATTTTTCATCATTAAAACAAAACAAAACAAAACAAAACACTTTTTAATTGTAAGAATAGTGTGATGCAGTTTTCAGCTGTTATTAACATTTTGCCCATTTGTGTTCTCTCTCCTCTCTTTCTGTATTCATACACACACACACACACACACACACAGGTGCACACATATGTATATAAGTTATTGTTGCCCTTTAGTTTGGCTAGCTAGCCTAAGGAACCTGAGGCTAGGAAATAGAATAGCTCATTCTTTACTCACCTCTGCCACTTGTTAGCTTTGCCATTAAGTCTTGACACCTCTTCAATCTGCTTTATCTCTGAAACATACAGAGTTAATACCTGCCCTGGCATCTGGTCAAGTGAGATCATGGGAATAAAGATGCTTGGTAAACCAAAAGGCTCTGGTCCAAATCTAGGCATTGTCAAGACTCATTTGTGATCCAGAGCTGCAAACCAGGGGCACCTCTGGGTTGATGAGGATGTGATCAACACCCTCTGTGGCAGGCACTTCCCATAGGCACGTCAGTCAGTTCTGAATCCTGGGGTGACTTAGTCCCTGGGTACCAAGATAAGGGTATGAGTTTGGATGAAGGGCACCTGCCCATCTCACTGTGACCCAAGGTGGAAAAGTGTCCTGCCCATCTCACTGTGACCCAAGGTGGAAAAGTGTCCCGGGATGATATAGGTGATCTGAGCAGTGAATAGTCAACTCACCTGAATGTCCTCCCAGTGGTCAGTGGGAAGTGCCACATGAAGGTTGAGTGCCACCTCTAAACTGGTATGCAGGATGTTGTTTTTTTTCTCACCTATGCTTGTGTTTATTTAAGAGGCGGTCAACATGGTGAATGAAAGACCGTTGACACTTTAGTGGTGATTTGGACTGGCCTTGTCATACCCGACTTTCCAAATGATTTGGATACCAGTCATCCACGCTACTTCCTGGGGGTAGAGTCAATGTTGGGGGTCTGCTCCCCCTAGGGTCTCCCCAGGGTTCAGCTTGGGTTCTGATTCAACAGAATATTTATAAATGGAAAGAGTAGATGATGAGCATCTTTTCTAAAACTCCTTCCTATCCATTATTACATTTTATTCTGCGAGGTAACAAGGCATACATTGCTGTCCTAATTTTCAAGGTTAGAAAAACTAAAGCCAGCAAGTTCCACAGTGAGCTGGTGGCAGAGGCAGGCTTAAAACCCAGCTCCCCAGACACCTTGCCCCGTGCTCATTGGGAAGTAGCAGGGTGGATGGCGGTACCCGAGTCCCCAGCCTCCTCCTCACCACCTGCTGCAAGGTGCCCGCTCACAGTGGCTCATTTCCCTGTGTTGATGCTGTCTTTCTGTATGGCCGGTCCAGGCTGGGCTCAGGAGAGGCACAAGGACCTTCTCTGCCCTCCAGTGTATCTCTCATCTCTCAGGTGCTGCTGAACGAGGAGAGAGAAGCCATGGCGAGATCGCGCCGGCTGGAGCGCAGCACCAGTAGCTTCAGCTACTCCTCTTATCACACGCTGGAGGAGGTAGGCCTGCGGGTCCAGCTCTGGACTCTCTCTTGCCTCTGGGCTCCTTGGATTCTCCAGACTCAGGCAGAGACCAATGAAGGTGCTGGAGTCTATGAAAAACTGTGAACTTGGGGAGTGAAGAGTAGATATTAGGTGAACATCTGTTGGGCAGTCAGCTTAAATGGGATCCAGAAGCCAGTTAGAGGGGACTACAGTTCAATAGGATGATCTTAAGCAGGCACAGAGCAGAGTAAAAGGGTCTATACTGGGCAGAACACTAAGGTCGGTGGAGGGTGCCTCCAGACCCTTTTCTCTGGCTAGGGATCAGGGATCTCTACCTTTCCATGAGCAGTCCTGGTGTTCAGGGGCACTGTGGGTATGGGTAATTGAGGGTATAAGGAGCAAGAAGCCAGTCATACTTGTAGAATCAAACAGAGTCACCTTGGAGAAAATTCATAATTACAGTGACAGCCAGCTAGAGCAAGTGTGACTGTCCTTAATTCTTAGAGCATCTTCAATTCCAGTTTTTAATCTGGATCCTTTTAGACTCTCAAAAGAGGTGGACAATGGAAAAGGGTGGTGGGATGGGGGGAGGAGACTATTCAGAGACATCTTGGGGTTCACCCTTCTCTTAAGTTAACTGACAGTCTGAGACTTCGTTCCTTTCAGATCTATAGCTGGATTGATAACTTCGTAGCCGAGAATTCAAATATCGTCTCCAAAATTCACATTGGCAACAGTTTTGAAAATCGGTCCATTCTTGTTCTGAAGGTAAAAGTTCTGTGTCAACTAGTGGACTCTTCAGTGACAGCCTCTAGCATAAGATGGAGCCTGTGTAGGTAGTGACTTGATGGGAGTTTTGGGGACAGGAAAGATGTGCATGTTCCTGTCTTTGGGTGACTCATAAGCTTTGAGATGTGGTATTCAGGGATCCACCCTTGTAGGTATGGGCAGGTGACAGTGCAGTGACCTTATCAGGAAGTAGTGGGAGGGTTGCTAAGGAGATGGAGCTGCAGAGTGGCCATTGTCACCTGGACTTGGGGTGGGAGTGTGGGTGAGTCAGTGTTCTTCCTGTTGCTTCAGTTGCTTTATCTGTTAAGTGGGAAAAGAGATACAGTAAGGGCTCATCTGACAATGCTCAAAGTCATCTGGCTCAGATAGCTCCATGAACAGGTCTGAGTCTCTGGGGAAGCCTCCCAGCCCTTCACAGGGGCCACTGGAACAGTGCTTGAGCAAATTTGGCAACTGCAGTCCCTTTGATCATGAAGGAAGCAGCATAGGTGAGTGCAGAGTCCAGTGGAAAATAGTTCTTAGGGCATATCCCCAAGGGCACCAGATGCACGGGCCATGCAGGGCACTTGATGTCAGTGGTCAGGAAGGACAAGAGCTACTGCTCTCAACAATGTTCTGCTGGACATTTCTGAACAGCAATGTGGCCTCGTCTCACCTGGCCCTAGACTTCACCTGTTTCTGCTTCCACCCCTGACCTGGCGCTGCCCCAGACTCTGTAATGTGGTCTGAGACCTTGCTTTTCAAAGTGTGGTCCTTGCACAGCAGCGTCCACATCACCTGGAAGACTGCATTTTGTAAATGCTGACCCTCAGACCCTCCCCAGACCTATGGAATCAGAATCCTCATTTGAGTTTTCCCTGTCTCTAACCTTCACTTCCTGCTCTTCTCCCCTGGTGAGCCACTTAGGTGAGCCCACCCGGGCCCATAGACCAACCACAATGAGTTTATTGCCCATGTCTCCAACTCTGGCCCCTCTCCCAATCCTACAGACTCCTAGAGACTGGGTCACTGAACACACCCCTCAGGCATCCCACAGGCACCACAGATGCACATATGTATCTAAAATCTAAGCATATCATGTCCCCTTCTTTCCCTTACCCATTTTATCTGCCATCCCTTCACCACCCCTCTCTGCCCCCACCCCTCCACAAACACACAGACAGTGGCTTCCACTGAAATTGCCACTATCATTTTTTTTTTCTCTCTCTCTCTCTCTCTCTTTTTTTTTTTTTTTTGGTGGTCCTGGGGATTGAACCCAGGGCCTTGTACATACAAGGCAAGCACCCTACCAACTGAGCTACAGCCCACTGCTCTCAGTTTCTGATACCACCCTGGGGGATACATGTGCCCATTAAAGTTTGAGAAGCATTAGTCTTAAGACGCCCTCAATTCAGGGAAATTCTATGCTTCTGGATCACTTTGCCCTCCAAGAGGCCCACTGTGTAGCCAAAGACCCCCATACATGTGCACTTCATAGGCCATGGGCTCCATGGGCACACGCTCAGGTGGGTGCACCCCAACTCCTGCCCAGGCTGGCATATGGCACCATCCCAGGCAGTGAAGTTATATCAGGGGCCTCCTTCCAGGAAGCCCCAAGATGACACCGTACTTGTCTTTGGTCAAACCTCCTTAAACCTCGTTTGGGGCCTGGTTCTTTATCCCAGTTCAGCACTGGAGGTTCTCGGCGCCCTGCCATCTGGATTGACACTGGGATTCACTCCAGGGAGTGGATCACCCATGCCACTGGCATCTGGATTGCCAAGAAGGTCAGCAGGGACCTGCAGCCAAAGTGGAGCTGGAGCTGGGGTGGAGCTGGAGCAAGGTGGAGATGGGGGTTGGGGCTGGGGGAGCTTTAACGGTCCCTCTAGTTGAAAAAGTAGACTCAGTCACTTTGAATTCCAGTGCTCTATCCCCATCCCCTTTGAAATACCTAGTATGTGCTCTGGCCTCTTGGAACACAGAGCCCATCTCTACTCTGTCTTCCAGTTGTTTCAAATTTAAGACTGGTTCTGTGTGAGGATGTGCTTGATGACCTGATGCCATCTCCACTTGTAGCTGCTGGCTGGACAGATGTCCTGTTCTGCCTCTGAGGAGAGCCCAGCAGGGCCTCCCATCCCTCACCCTTTCTTGCAGATTGTCATTGAATTTGGCAAAAATGGCCTCCTGACAAACATACTGAAAGCCATGGACATCTTCATAGAGCTTGTCACCAACCCTGATGGGTTTGCTTTTTCTCATAGCATGGTGAGGGCACCTGGGGAGTGTGGAGGAGGGGTCAGCCCTGGAGGAACCAGGGAAAAGTCACTGCGGCCTCTGGAGGCGGCCTCTTCAGGGTACCATAGCTCTGACTTCTTGCCCTTCAACCTCCTGACCAAGAAAGGTCACCACTGGTGACCTGTGATCAGTCCTTTCCCCAAACCTGATTTCAAGCACGCATCCTCGTCTGCAGTCTTGGCCCAGCCCCAGGCCAGCCCCACCTTGTTCTGGAGTTCTTCCCTTTGCTCCTTCCTGCCCCACCAGACTGCCCTTCATGGGCCAGAATGTCAGCACACCCATCCCTGGGAGTGGGCCCAGTGAATGGGGTCACCTGATCTGGGCTTTCTCAGAACCGCTTGTGGCGGAAGAACAAGTCCAGCAGACCTGGCATCTTCTGCATCGGCGTGGATCTCAACAGGAACTGGAAGTCAGGCTTTGGAGGTATGGAGATCTGTGGTCCTGGGCAGGGCTGGAGGAAGGAGTTGTTGGTCTCCCACACAGTCAGATTGTGTTGACTCATAACTTGAGGGGCAGGGCTATTGGAATTTGCTAATGTGCATCAGTCACGGTCAGGGACAGGCAAGGACATACCTAAGATTGACCATGGAATGGGGAAGAAGTTGTACATGTGTGTCAAATGAATACCTAGGCCAAGCTTTCATGGGGACATTGAAAGGAGCCTCTATCTCCTAAAGGAGGATGAACTGCAAGGTCAAATCCCAACATGGCAGAAAATAACCTAAGGAGGTTTCATCCGTTGTTCAAAATCCAGAGTTTACAGTGTTCCCCAAGTGTCCCTGGCTTCTCTCTAGAGGGAACACAGCACAAGGTCATGCTTCTGAACCCATTGTCCAAGAGCTGAGACTCACCCCTTGGGGAGATCAGAGAAGTAGTTCAATATAGAATGAACCAAGTCCTTATCATCCTTGCCTACTCAAGCCTAGTTTTCTTTTCTTTTTTAAGCCTAGTTTTTATTCTTGAGCCATTATTTTGTGACTCTGCTGGCAGGCTGGTGGGCTGGTGCCTACCTGCAGGCTGTGTGGACCCCACTGCTGGGTGGGCAACTTTCTCCCAAGTTTCATGGTTTTCTTCCTTGACTGTCTCTCTCTCACCATGCCATGAGCGCACGGACTAGATGAGGAAACTGGGTTCTCCAGAAAGCCAAGAGACAGTACATGGACCCCGGAAATGCAGCAGAATGATGGGTGGGATGCTGGGGACGGCCGGGACAGCCTCCAGCACATACACAGTCCTTAGTCCCCAGATACGGTGTCCACATTCCACTATTGTGCAGGGTGGGTTTGGCTCCACAGGGGACAGTTCTATTACTGTTGATAAGCAGATCTCTAGGCTGGTGGCCAAACCAATGATGTAGACCATTTTAGATCTGGATGTCCATTGTCCTGAAAATCTAGCTTCTTAGGGGTCTGTTCTCATTGAAAATTAAGGTAGTTCTGAAGCACTGGGAGTGAGGCCTCTAACTCTCCTGGTAGATGTTGCCTGGGGGGTCTGAGCTCTGCATGTAACCACTGCTGTAAAGGAACACAACCATGTAAAATTAGATGTTTCCTTCTCCAAATGACCAGATGCTTGCCCTGGATGGACATCCATGGGAGCCCCACTGAACTACTAGTTGGGCTACCCCAGGATCAATGCCCGCAGATCCTGGGGTAGCCCAGCTAGTAGAAAGACAAATTACCTCTTAAAGAAAATAACTTTTGTGGGTTTCTCTTATAGGAAAAAAAATCTGTATATATACAATGTAAAAAAACAATTAGGGAGAAAGAAACCCAGAGGGGCCAAAAAGCTCCCATAATCCCACTACCCAAAGATTACTGCTTTTAATAATTTACCATGTCCTTCCAGAGATTTCCCCTTGCTACAAATTACATTTTAGAGAAGGAAAAATAAATAGCTAATGAATCCATTAGCAGGTACTTGTGAAACAGGAAGGCTCAGAGGACCTTGACTGTGAACGTCAGAGAGGCAGGCAGCTAATTCCCATTTGGTCAGGGGAAGATTAGTTTATTCTGCTTAGCTCGAACCAGAACTAATGGCCTGAAGTGTTTCTCCATATTTGGGCAAAGCCACCTGGTCGTTGGCAGGGGAACTGCTTTCCCTGCGTGGGCTGCAAACACAGACAAAGCTCTCAGCCCGTCCCGCTCGGCTCATCTGTTGGTATTTGTCATTCGTCAAGTGGAGCAGGTGCAGAAGCTGCAGGCAGACACAACAAACAGGGCCACTGTTAGCCAGCCTGGGGGCTGCCTCGCACCCCCTTGCTCTCTGCAGATATGTCCCTTTCTACCTGAGGTCCCCTATCCCAGGCCAGGACCAGCCAACCAAGAGGTGATGGGCTCCCCAGTGACAGAACGGTCTCTGGGCTGCCTGTGACCAGAATTAGCAAGTTTCTGAGTTGGTGACTCAGGTGGGAAGATTTTGTTTATGGCTTTATTATTGCCTTAATTTAATTGCTGCATCATGGGTTGTCTGGAGACTGTGCACTTTTGGAGAGGATCAATTTGTTGCATTCCTAGATCCTCATTTGAACTGGTCCTTGGGCCACCACGCTGGCCCTGGGGGCAAGAGGGGCGCTCTGGCATCTTCATGAGGCTTCAGAAGTTGGGGGGATCCCTAGCCTCTGAACCAGGCTTGAAGGCAGCTATTTTCGGGAAGAAAAAGGATAGGGGACCTGGGATGGCTCCTTGTCCATGAGACTGTAACCCACAAATCTTGACCAGCCTGGTTCAGCCCTCCACAATGTGGCTTTTGGTGAGGAGCACAGAGGAGTGGAAGAGGAAGGAAGGATGAGGGAGCAAAGAATCTAGAAGGAGATGGGAACAAATTAAAACTGTCAAAAAATATATGGGGGGGGGAGGGGAGGGTACAGCTCCTCTTTGTCATCTCCCCTAAGTAGGTCCCCAAGAAGAATTCCCAAAGACTTCTTGCATCTGTGCTTCCCAGTTCAGATTCAGGCAAATATGGGAATCTGCTTTCTTTTCCTGGCCCCCCAAGTCCATGGAGCTCCTGGGGCCATGTCTGGGGCAAAGCTTGAGCAGACACTAGGTCTGAGCCCTCAACACCAGTGAAGCCAAGAAAGAGCAGCTGAAGGTGAAGCTGAGATTGGGGCAGAAACCCAGAGTTTCTCCTAGATGCATCTTCTGAGGCAGGCCTGCCTTTCCAATGGAACCACAGTCAGGTCTTACCTAAAGGACAAGCCAAGGGGGCTCCTTCAGTTTATAGAGTTGCTGGGTCATGATGTGGCTACATGCTCTGATGTATGAGACCAGAGTATGCAGCAATAACAAACACCCCTTCAAATCTTAGTAGCTTACTCTGAAGTAAGAGTTTGTTTTGCATGAGCACAAAGTCTAATGTAGGCAGATGATTTCCATTAGCAGTTTTCATTCAGTGGTAACAGAGGGACACAGGATGCTGCTTCTTTCTAGAATGTTTTGCTCCTAACCAGAAGTGACACATCATTTTTGCTCAAGTTTTCGTTGTTCAGAAGTAGTCACATGACCTCAACCAAACTGCAGAGGAAACTGGGAGATATGAGGGAGCATGTGGGTGTTTTGTGAGAACTGTCTCTGCCACAACCGGGAATACCAACCCTTTGGATGATTTTATTTTACTTCCAGGAAATGGTTCTAACAGCAACCCCTGCTCAGAGACTTATCATGGGCCCTCACCACAGTCAGAGCCAGAGGTGGCCGCCATTGTGAACTTTATCACAAAACATGGGAACTTCAAAGTTCTGATCTCCATCCACAGTTACTCTCAGATGCTCATGTACCCTTATGGCCACTCTATGGAGTCTGTTTCAAATGAGAAGGAGCTGGTAAGATTGAGCTTGGGGGAGGAAGAGGTCCCTCCTCCAGGAAAATCCATATCTGGCATATTCCCAGGGGTACTGGCTCTCCTGAAACAACAGTCTGGATCAATGTACCCTGTGGTAGGGAGGAGGGGGAGCTTGTTCTCATTCAAGTTCAAAGCTGGAGGTGCTGTGCTACCTTCTCACAAGAGCTATCTGCATGATCAACTCCTGGGACTCCTCAATCCATGCTTCTCACCACTGCTGAGGGTGCTGGGGTGTGTGGGGAGCCACTCTGAGCCCTAGCCTCTCACCCTCTGGCCGCCATCTTGCAGCACAGTCTTGCACAGGATGCAGTGAAGGCCCTGTACCAGGTGCACGGGATCCAGTACATTTTTGGCAGCATCAGCGCCACCCTCTGTGAGTGAGCCTCCCTGGCTACTGCCCTAGATGCCACATCCACCTGGGGATCAGGCAGGTGCAGGCTCTGGGCTGCCTGGCAGATCTGGTCAGCCACAGGGTAGTACTGTTAGAGCTAGCTGGGCCGCTCAGAGCTGCCTTCCACATCGGGAGAGAAGGGTGGACCATGGTGCCCAGGCAGCTGCAGCAGCAATGCACATCTCTCAGTGCCTGGCTTACAGCAAAGTTCCCTCAGGGGAAAGATGGTCTGCTGGCCTCTGGGGGCTTTCCTTTTGCAGGGGGAGAGATGGGCTGGGTAGGCAGGGTGTGGCCCAGGAGGAGGCCTGGGCCTAGAAGCTTAGTGTGGTCTGGGCTGGCTGGGGATTTGGTTCCCAGGGCCCACTTTCAACTCAGGATTCTTTTGTCCCCTGTGACCATACTCTCTCCTTCCTTTTGGGGGCACTTGTTGGCCCTTTGGTTTGCAGACGTGGCCAGTGGGATCACTGTGGACTGGGCCTACGACAATGGCATTAAGTATGCCTTCAGTTTCGAGCTCCGGGACACAGGGCGCTATGGTTTTCTGCTGCCAGCCACACAGATCGTCCCCACAGCCCAGGAGACGTGGATGGCAATACTGACCATCATGAAGCATGCCCTGCATCACCCCTACTAGCAGCACTACTGGAGCCAGAGCAGGTGGGGTTCGCCCTCCTCCCCAAGGCCTGGGACTCCTGAAACCCAAGTTATATATATCCCCTCCCTGCACCCTCTCCCAGATACCTAGGAAATAAATGCAAGTTTAAACAGGCTTCCCTGTCTCTAGTATTGGTTGCTACCCTTTTGGGTTCAGCATTAAATAGGGGACAGAGAGTTGCTTATGCCTAGGGACACTTCTTCACGCCACTGCTACCTTCAGGAACACGAGGGACTTGCAGGTTGCATCATTTCTTATTTTGGAGTGTTCTCAGAGCCCAAAATTGAGACCTCAACCCTGGGAAGCTGCTAAAATACACATTGTCTCAGCAGTATTAACATTTTAACATGATGTGGAGGGAAAATGTTTGATCTAAAGGAGAGGATCTATAAAGATGGCATTTCTGGGCCCTTGAGGAAGAAGTGGGTCCAGACAGGCATCCTCCGCCTGCTTCATTCCCCATAAAGAAGAGAAGGCAGGTGCGTATTTCAGAGGTGCCCACTCAGAGGATCCCACTAACCACATAGCCCAATATGAACAAGTCGCTGGTTTGTGACCATGGAACAATTACTCCAGGCCAAGTCATGTGTGAAGGCACATTTCTACAAGAAAATTAAAGGTTCATGAGAACCTGATGGGGTGCCTTCACCCATCCCCAGCTTTCCTTCTACCTTGACCTTCCCTTACCATGGGGGAACTGGGATAGTGGGTCTCCCTGCTCTGCTACTAGGGGAGGCAGAGACTCCCCAGAAGCAAGAAAATGAAGAGCTGAATGGGGTTGAGAGTATCTTGAGATAGAAACTCTAGTCTTGAGAGTAAGACCTCCATTTGCAAGAACCAGGCTCTCTGTGTATGTGTGTATGCACACAGGTGAGAGAAAAGAACTGTGGATGGTCATGAACCAGTCCTTGGAGAACAGGGACAAAAGCAGAAAGAATTAAGAAGTGCCCCCGCCCTTTCCCTAGCCTGTAAAAGGAGAAGCAGTTGGGCTGGTTGGCAGGAGGAGGCAGTCTGAGATGATCAAACCTCAGGCAAGGCCCATATCCATGATGGCGTCTGAGCAGCAGATCAATAAGCGACTGAGGGAGGGGCTGCACAAACGTTAGAGGCATATGGGCTGAGTGCACCACAGTGGTGCGGCTGTTAGGAGCTCTGAGCAAAGAACTCGGGTCTCAGGTGGGGAGGCCTATGGTAGAGGCAAGAAGGCCAAGTCCAAGGGCCACGCAGCCAGCTGCCACGATGACACAATGGGCACTGGCTAGGCATCTGAATGCCCAGGACGGGCTCTGCTGTGGGGAAGCCCCAAGGAAGGCAGGGGACTTAGTCCCTGAAGAACCTGGACAATCTGCAGGGGAAAAGCCAGCCACAGAGGAGGGGAAAATCCTGATTCTGGTTAAAATCTTCCACAAGGCTGAGGGAGACCAAGGGTTTTGTTTTTAAAGCTGGAAGTAAGATGGATTTTCCAACCTGAAGTTTTCTGCCGTCTTGAGAAAAATTAATACAAAATATAGATAAAGTTGAATTCTATCTTTACACACTGGAGTGTGAGATTATAACTTCTTTTATGACCTCTATACAAATTTTATATATATTATATATATATATATATATATATATATATATATACACACACACACACACACACACATACATAGATATCTATCTATCTATATATATCTATATATATCTATATATCTAAAGGATTGATTGAACCCCGGGGGGCGGGGGGAGGGTGTTTTACCATTGAGCCACACCCCGATCCCTTTTTTATATTTTTATTTAGAGACAGGATCTCTCTGAGTTGCTTAAGGCCTCACTAAGTTGCTAAGGCTGGCTTTGAACTCATGATCCTCCAGCCACAGCCTCCTGAGCTGCTGGGATTATAGGCATTAGCCACCACAGCCAGCTTACACAAATATTTGTATTGTATCCTCATGGAGGTGGGGTATTACAGGTATTAATAAGCTCATTTTTTGAGATAAGAAAAGCAAGAAGTGAAGAAGTTTTAAAGGTCATACAGATAGAAAGTTGAGGACAATTTGAACTTGGATTTTTCTAACTCCAAAACCACAATGTCACTGTTTGTCCACATGTGGCCTGTGGTCTGCCTGCAGCAGAGAGCATGGAAAGCTGTTTAACGTGGTGGTATTTGGGTTCTATCCCCCAGATGACACAGGTTGTCTGAGGTGGGGCCCGGTGACTCTCTTGCCGAGTTGGGGAAGCCCTAGCTTAGAGGCAGGAGTATTTGGGCTCTGATGTTCTTCCTTAGAGCCATGGACATGGTAATTTCTTTTCCAACACCTACTGTGTCCCAACATGGTTCTCACGACATTATGCGATTCTGCACAGGGCCTTCTCTTAGCTGTAAGAGGGGACTATGAATGTCTCTATTTTCTAAGCAGAAGCACAGGCCCCCAAGAGCTTGGCAGATGAAGGGCACATGGTTCCCCACCTGCCTCCAGACCCTGAAGCTGACTCTCCCCCAGGCCCCTCAGGACTACTGGGAACTGGATTTTGCAGCCCGGTTGGCTAGATCTCTAGGCAGACGATGAGCACACAAAAGTTGGAGCTGACGCTGCTTTTCAGACGGAGGTCTTTTTATAAGGCAACAGCATCTTTGAAATCCCCCCATGGCTTGAAATGAAACCCCTCCAAGGAGCTGCAGGACCCCCCGTCTTCCTCTCCCCCCTTGTCTCAATAACTTGCTCACCAGCTCCAACCCCAGTAGCATCCTCCCTGCTTCCTTCAGCACCAAAGCTGCTTCCCAGCCCCAGGCCTGGGCCTGTGCTGCTGCTCCTCATCTGGAACCTTCTTTCTCCCACTCTTCCCCTTCAAGTCCTAGGACCACCCACTGGGAGCAGACATCCTAGTAGCCCCAGGCACACAGAAGAGACTCAATGTTTGTTGAAGGACGGTTTCTCCTCCTCAGTCTCATATAAGTTTTTCTCTATGTGACAGAAATCCGCCTCACTATGGCTTAACCCATTAGGGGTTTTATTTTTGTCATGTAGCAAGAAGTCCTCCGCAGTGGACTGGCTTGGTGATTCCTTCATGCACGGGGACCCAAACCTTTCTAAATTATTCTGCTTTGCCTTCTCCTATACATGTGTCTAGCAATGTCGCATAAACCTTAACAATGGGGTCAAGTCCTGAGAAAGGTGTCATTAAGTGATGTTATCATGTGCAAACATCCTAGAGTGTATTTAAACAAACCTAGGTGACTTTTACATACATACGCTACTGCGTGTGTGTGTGTGTGTGTGTGTGTGTGTGTGTATGCATGCGCAGTAGCCTATCAACTCCTAGGGCAGTAATGAACACAACAAGAGATTAAGTCAGGCACAAAAGAAAATGATGCAATCCAGAGATTCAGGAACAGCTGCTCCTGGTATAAAAGTCACACTGTTTTACAGTAAACTTTTTTTTTTTTTAAAGTAGGAGTATGTTCTAAAATAATAATCAGAAGTAGAGTGTAGTAAATACAGAAACCATTAGCATAGTCATTGACTGTCTTGATCAGTATTATTACTCCACATAATTGTCTGTGCTCTACTTGTACAGGTCTGGCAGCTGGTAGGTTTGTTACATCAGTGCAAACCCAGGAGCAATGCGGTATACCACAGCCACATTACAATGGCTACATGTCACTAAGCAAAAGAAAAATTTTCAGCTCATTATAATCTTATGGGACCCCTGTCATTGGTGGTTGGCCTCAACGTCACTGTGCAGCACATTTCTTGTATTTTGACAGGTTGCAAGATGGCTGCTGTACCGTCATCGTAAGACTAAATTCCAAGCAGGAAGAGCAAGGGGGAGAACACGAGCCAGCTGACTAGGCTGGTCCAAAGACTTCAATGTATATGTTATTGGTTGAACTGTGTCATGTGGCCACACCCAGCTCCAAGGGAGGCTGAGAAATTGCTGTACAGCTGGGCAAATTGCTGCCCCCAAATAAAAGTGGAGTCCTATTGTTAAGGAGGAAGGGGAGAACAGATGTTGGGAAGGCAGTCAACAGAGCCTGCGACATCTTTTCTGAGGGGCAGGGAGAATCTGAAGGGCCTCTTGCTGTAGGTAATCATGAAGCCATAGAACTTTGCAGATGTTGTAGACCAATCTTCTAATTTTGCAGTTATAAAGATTGGAGCTTCTGGTTAATGAAATTTGCACAAGGCCTGTGTGACTGTAATGGCTGAGAGAGGAGTAGAGCCAGGTTCATGCCCAGTTCTGGCTCATTGCTGCTTCCCCCAGGACTGAGGAGCCACACAGTAGCCTATATGTTATCTCCTCTGCAAACCAAAGGAGATAATAATGCCTGGGAGTTTAAGTGTATGAAACTAAACCTCAAGACTTAGGCATGTAAGAGTTAGAAAAATTATAGAAGAATTTTTCTATGTTTTATAAAACCTGAAAAAAATTTTTTTTTTATTTTCTTAAGTATATAATGCTAAATAGGAGCTCAGTTTTTCTTCATTCAGTATGGTGTTTTTTTTTCCCTCCCAACAACCACTCTTTTTAGGTATGTTTTTTCATCCTTTTCACTGGTAAAATTTATGAGCATTTATTTAAAAGAAAAAAAACACTGGAAAATCTAAAGAGAGAAAGAGCGATTATACATATGGAAACCCATAAAGAACCACAGCAAATGTGCTGCGGTTATTGCTTTCTTAAGAAAACAAACCAACCAGGCAGTTTGGAATGTGAGAGTCCTGTGTGAGGCCAGCCAGCGGCAGAGGCTGAGGGTGATGGGCCAATGGCCACTATCCGAGAGGCCAGTAAGGTGCCGTCCACTTCCCCCATCCTCCTCCATCTCCCCTCTGACCACTTCAGAAAGACGCTGGGCCAGAAAGAAAATGACTTTACAAAAAAAAAAAAAAATTAAAATATAAAATTCTTCTTTAGAAAAACAAGAAGGCCCAGGCAGTCAGCTGGTACAGGCTGTGAGAGAATCCAGGGAACATGGGTGCGTAAGTGCTTCAGAGCTGGTCAGTAGACCGACATGATGCGTAGGAGGGAGTGAGAGGCCTGCTGCAGACCAGGGCAGGAGGTCAGCCAAGGGCAGGCCCAATAGGATGGATCTGTGGAACTTGTTACCATTCCCAAGGATTTTCCCATCTGAGAACCTCGAAGGCTGATCTGGCTGCCTGGATTTGTCCTTCCAACCTCCTCAGAGGAACACTGCTTGTTACTTTGTTGATGTCTGAGAGCCAGGCCTAGCTGCTGCCCTTTCCATCACAGTCATGAGTATGTTGGGACGGAGGCTGGGGTGGGCTCTGCCAACTGTTCCCCGGCAACAAGTCCATTTCCTGGCCTGCAGCTGTGGGTTCTACTGACTGTCTCCACTTGATGTGGGCTGCTGATGTGGCAGCTAGGCTGCCAGGCTCCTCCGCCTTGTCCCCAAGAGTGGCCTGCCTGAGTGGGACATGATGCCTTCCATCTCAAGCTTGGGGGCAAAAAATGTTCTTCTTGGTGTTTTGAAGAACAACTCTAGCCTGTTTGGTCTTCCAAGTTTCTTCCCTGAGTATTTGGAACATTCCCTGGAAATAATAACATGCTTGCAAAGCCATTCCATTTGGCTTGCCCCGTGGGTATCCTCTTGCTCTGGGGTCTGCAACGGCCTCTTGCTCTCTCCTAACCACCTTCGCCAAGCTCTGTGGCTCTCCTTCCACTTCCCTACCCCCTCCGCGCTCCTCCCCCAATTCCCCAAACCATAGCTAAGACACCATGGGGGAGCATTTTATAAACTTGTCCTTGGGATGAAGAAAGAAAATACATTACAAGAAAAAAAAAAAAAAGAACCACTTAAGTTGGACACTGGATATCTCTGGTGTTAGAATTGGTGTTTCCTGTCCTTTCACGGGTTAATCCCAATAGGTCTTTGCCTTCCTTGACCTTCTGTTGGCTCCGACATTGCCTAGTGCTCCTCCCCACAGGATGCTCCCAACTCTCCTCTCAGGCTCAGCAGAAGCACCCTCCCTATTTGTCCTTGTACATGGTGGCTTGTCCTGGCTTAGCTCCTCTCTGCTGCAGGCCTCCATTCTGAGATCTGGGCTTTCTCTTGACATTTACTGAAAAACTGTCCAGCTGTGACACTGCATGATTCTAGGACATTTGATTTTTTTTTTTTTTTCTGCAAAACAAATCAAATTTTATCCAGCCCTTGCCAGTGACTTCCTCTTGAGTATAGATCCCAGCCTGGTGGTTTCTTTCTGGGTCATGAGCCTTGATGCTCTGCCTGTCCCCCAGCTTTGGGCCTAAGGTCCCCAACTTTGCCCTTGCTTTGGACCAACATGAAACAATCCATGGCATGGGCAGGCAGAGCTGTGGCCTCACCCCTCAGCTACATTCTAGAATTTATTATTTAGCAAGAGATAACTTGTAGTTTCCTGAGGTGCTCTGGAGGGACCCAGGCTTAGCTTCTCCCTGAGTCTGTCCTCTACTAGTATGCTGCCAGCCTCCTATCCAGTAATTTCAGTTTATAGCATTGAACTCATCTTTTCCCGCTTCATATACATTGTATGATTTTGGGGCATCTTTGATGGCTGGTTGGAGGCAGAATGAGGCACTCTATTTTTGTGTGTGGTACTAGGTATGGACCCCACTGAGCCACATCCCCCAACCCTTTTTATTTTGAGACAGGGTCTCACTAATTTCCCAGGCTAACCTCAAACTTGAGATCCTTTCCTAGTGTGAAACAGAAGAAACGCTTGAGGTCACAGTACTGCAGGATGAGGGACACCCCTGAGCAATGGGTAGGACTAGGTTCCTGGCCTGAGGAAGTTTACAGTATCCTTAAGGAGACAAGAATAACACCCCAGGAACAATGAAGGAGAAATAAATGTGAATTCTGCGTTCAAGTATCAGTTCCCCTTTCCCTCCCTCCCATTGGGATCCAGGTCAAAGGCTACCCCTTGATGAACTCTCTCCTTGAGTGCCCACAATGTATCTCTGAGCCCTCATGAAACTTTTCATATAGCATCACAGAAAATGTGCAGTTAGGGTCTCTTGTAGTGAGGACAGCAGCCCCAGTGAGTCCCTGGAGGTCTAAGTCTGTGTCGTCGCCAGCTTCTCAGAGACCAGCTTCTCAGAGTCTGACTCCTACAAGAGCACTGTGGCCAGGAGTGGGGCTGGGAAGTCCCTTTCAATGGCCTAGACCCCAGAGGGGATGTTCCCTGCACAGGGCTGCACAAAACCAGGAAGGCATGGAGCCAAGCAGATGCAGGAGCTGGATAAGGCAGGGGACCCCAACTCTATTCTAAGAACAGAGCTGGTACTCAGGGGTATGGGAGAAGGAGACACCTCACACAAGGCCCCAGTTAGCCGGTTCCTTCTGCTCTGCTAGACCCTGAGCTCCCCAAGGTCAAGGCGGTCTGACTGGGCATTGCGGCAGGGTGGAGCTCAGTGGCTGGGCCAGAAGGTGAACGAACAAAGGAGTGGTCCTTCCAAGAAGGAGCAGATTTGGCTCGCTGTGAGTATCCTCTTGCCCTGGGTCTGCAGTTGGCTTCTTGCTCTCTCCTAACCAGCTTCACCAAGCTCATCCAAGAAGGAGCAGATTGGGGAGAAAGGCGGCAGAGGAAGCCTCACGGGGCAGTGAGCCCTGCCGGGGGGGGGGGGGGGGGGGGGCGGGGCGGGAATTCAAGTCTGCTGAGGGGATATCCAAGTTTATGGTCTTCCTAGGCTCCAGACAGAGTTGTGTGCATATACAATGGGCCACCGTGCCTTGGCCTAGCAGGGCTGACTGAGAAGCGGGTGTGGTGAGGAGGCCGAGGGAACAGATTGAAACCAGAAAAGGACCTCCTGTGCCGTCATTACCGGCCAAGCCCCTGATACAGAGCAGGGCCCCAGGTGGTGCTGGTGAACCCCTGGAGGCCCTGTGGATTAGGGTGGATTTGGTTTACACATCTCTGCAATGAGATCAGCAACCAGAGCCAAGCAAATTCCCTTGGTGAGTTCCCAGCTCTCCTGTCCACTGTGCGATCCCAGCCTGGGTCTGGCCCTGCTCCCACAGCCCTTTCTATTCAGATGATCTCTGGTTCTAGTTTCTACCAAGGGCACCACAGACCCTGGGGACCCATGGTGGTGGGGTGGGGGGCAATGCTGGCTAGAACTGGGTTTCTGATTCAGTTGCTGCTGCTACAGGCTGACTCCTACAAGAGCACCTTGGCCAGGAGTGGGGCTGGGAAGTCCCTTTCAATGGCCTAGACCCCAGAGGGGATGTTCCCTGCACAGGGCTGCACAAAACCAGGAAGGCATGGAGCTGAGCAGATGCAGGAGCTGGATGAGGCAGGGGACCCCAACTCTATTCTAAGAACAGAGCTGGTACTCAGGGGTATGGGAGAAGGAGACACCTCACACAAGGCCCCAGTTTTTGTTGCCTCTGGAAGTCCTGGCTCCTTTTCCACTGGACCCTAAGCAAACCGGACCACAGTCCAGCTGCAGGTGCCTGGGGCTGTGGGCCACAGGTGAGTCCCAGCTGGGAGACCTCAGGCCCAGCTGATCCTCATGGCCAAGGGGGGGCCTGGCTTATCTTTCCAGCTGCCCCATTCCCTACCACTTTATCATATCAGGGAGGGTGAGAAGGTGCCAGAGCTTGGAACCCCCACCCCCCCTTCCTGTGAGACCTGGTCCAGGTGCAAGAGGAGCACAGCCCTTGGGCACAGCCAGGAGAACGCTGCCCTGGGTTTAAAAGGCCCAGATCTCAGTGTCAACCTCAGTCTGACCTTTACGGCTGCAGCATGAGGGGGCTGCTGGTTTTGAGTGTGCTGCTGGGAACTGTCTTTGGCCATGAGGACTTTGTGGGGTAGGAGTGTGGAGAGGAGGAGGACGAGAGCCCAGAGGGGAGACGGGGAGGACTCACCCTAGCCAGTGTCTGGAGGAGACAGACATGCAGGAACCAGCCAGAGAGCACGGCCAGCACCACCCTGGGGCGGCAGGCTGGCGGAGGCCCAGGTCTCTCAGGACAGTCTGAGCCTTGGAGATGAGGAGGAATTTGCAGTAGAGGAAGAGAGAGGAGGCCTGGCCAGTTTGGGAGAGAGAAAAATAATCTAAATAGATGGGGACAGCAATAAGTCTAGAATTTTCCAAGATGGGGAGAGCCTGGCTTCCCATGGCAGAGACTTTGGTGCCTCTTCCTACTCCAGGCCAGAGGACCCAGGCCCACACTGGGGATCCCAGGCTGCCTCTTTCCTGCTCTGGGGAGTGTTGGCAGCCAGGGTAGGAACTGGCTGGGGTGCTCAGTTTTCATCCCACTTTGCCCAGGCACCAGGTGCTCCGAATCTTTGCAGCTGACGAAGCCCAGGTGCAGAAGGTGAAGGAGCTGGAGGACCTGCAGCACCTGCAGGTCAGAGGCAGGGAGACCCAGAGACCCCACGGTACCTCCCAGGCCAGCTGGGCTCCCTACTCCCCGACTTTAGTCACTGGTACCTCCCAGAAAGAGTCACTGGACTGAATGGGCCCGGTTAGGAAGTGACTTCAACCCCGCAGTTTCAGATCTTGCTGCCCTGGAGCATCTAACAAAGTGCCAGAAACCTCTTTCCATTTCCTTATCTCTGCCCCTAACTCCCATGCTCCATCCCCCTCTATACTGAGGCTTCTGGCACCAACACCCTCTCCCAAGCTTGTCCTGTCCCAGGCTGCTCTCCTGGCTGATGTCTCTAGCCCACTCAAACAGTGCCGGCTTCTGTCCTCCCCAGCTGGACTTCTGGAAAGGCCCTACCTGGCCTGGCTCGCCCATCGACATCCGAGTGCCCTTTCACAGTCTCCAGGCTGTCAAAATCTTCCTGGAGGCCCAAGACATCAGGTACGAGATCATGATCAAGGACCTGCAGTCACTGCTGGATGAGGAACAGGAGCAGATGTTCGCCTTCCGGGCCAAGGTCCAATCTACCGACACCTTTAACTACGCCACCTACCACACCCTGGAGGAGGTGAGGGCAGCCCTTTGGCCACTCCCCTCAGGCACCACTCTCTTCCTCACAGCGGGCAGAGCATGGGCCTGAGTCAGGGTCAACCTGGGGGTGGGAGGCACCTGCTCTGTGTATATGTGGCTGGTGTGATCCAGGTCATGGCTCCATCACATTGCAGGACTGTTGAGGGAGGTGTCTGGGCACCCAGAAGCCACCAAGGTCCTTCTTCCCTTCTTTCCCATCTCAGATCTATAACTTCTTGGACCTGCTGGTGGCTGAGCACCCACAGCTTGTCAGCAAGATCCAGATTGGCAAAACCTATGAAGATCGACCCATTTATGTGCTGAAGGTAAAGGGTGCCCACATGTAGATGTTCATGGCCCCCACCATGGGCATCTGTATATGGGCATAGGTCTCACACTGTTGTACAGATTCCCTGTGTAGACATTTGGGAAGGTCTGAGCTTCCTGGCTGGCCTGGGTATGTTAGGTGTGTATATACAAGTACACACACAATTTAAACTTTTCGGTGACCCAAGTGTTTTCAACCAAATGTCACAGTATGGAAAGTATTCTGGGTAGCACAGGCAAGAGTTTTGTTGGTGACCTCCCACAGAGAACTGTACAGAGCAGGGGCCTGGAAGTCAGGTTGAGCCATATTGGCTCCAAGCTGGGGCTGGGGGCAGGAGGTCAAGCTCTGTGGGATCTCTGTTCAACCCACCTGAGTGGTGGTCCCACAAACAAAGCTTCAACCTGAGATACCAGAGAACAGGTGGCCTCTGGCCTGGGTGGATTTCCCTTTGGGGAATCCACCTTCCCCTTGCCCATTTCCCTGCCTCTTCCCTAGTTCAGCACTGGAGGGAACAACCGTCCTGCCATCTGGATTGACACAGGCATCCATTCCCGGGAGTGGGTCACTCAGGCCAGCGGAGTCTGGTTTGCAAAGAAGGTAAGGCTGGGGAGGTGAGGAGAGCTCTCGCCTGGTGGGGACTGGTACCAAGGCCCACAGAAACCCTGGCATCCCCTTTCCCTTCCAGAAGCAGTGACCCCAGAGGTGTTCATTGCTCAGCATGGCAGATGCCTGATTGGAGCACTCTGCCCTCTCCCTCTCTTGCCTCCTCCCACCAGATCACTCAAGACTATGGCCAGGACCCCGCTTTAACTAACATTCTTAATAATATGGACATCTTCCTGGAGATTGTTACCAACCCTGACGGTTTTGCTTTCACCCACAGCAAGGTACAATCTTTCTGTTCTCAAGGAAAGTGGGATGTACTCTGGCCTTAGCTCCACAAGCGACTCACCCTCTCCAAGCCCCCTAAGTTGTGGGAGGGGGAGAAGAACTGCCCTCCTGGACAGGATTCTCAGCCTGACACTATGGACATTTTGGTCAGGTGGTTCTTTGTTGTGGGGGGCCAACCTGTGCATCTCCTCCTACCCACTAGATGCAGTAGCACCTCCCACTTCCCTCCAGTTGGAAAAACCCAGAGTATCTTCAGACACTGCAAAATGATGGACAAAATTGTCCCCAGTTGAGGCACACCACCCCAGACCTTGCTTCCCGGTCCTACTTTTATTTTTAACACAAATACAGTTTCTGATGCAGAGTGCAGTGGGCTGGCTGATCCCTTTTCTTTCCTCAGAATCGCATGTGGCGCAAAACTCGATCCCTCACATCAAACTCCCTCTGTGTTGGTGTGGACGCCAACAGGAACTGGGACGCTGGCTTTGGGAGTAAGGCCCAGTGTGATTTAGGGGGCAGGCATGGGACCACCCAGAATAGCTTCTTACCCTCCTGGCTAGTTGCACAAGCAGTGAGGAAAAGGTAGCGAGTGGGGTGTTAGCCCTGTACCTGGGCTTTCAGAGTTGGAGGTCCTTGTCTGTAAAAGGAAGTTCCTTCTAGATGGAACTAAGTTCTGAAAGTTCATCTCAGGGTTTTCTATCCTAACCTCAACTCTTTCCTGTCTCTGCCACATCACTGGAAGAACTGGCCTCAGCTTAGGCCAAATCTGGCTGGTAAGGGAGGCAGGTCCCCAGATTATAAGAAGGCTTTGGTCTTTCCTTAACGAGGGCCTGGATCCCACCTCTCCCAACTCCATATAAAGAACTGGGAACTGTGGAAGCCCTATAAGCCATACCACTTGGGTTAGGAAATGCCAGCTCTGCCCTCTGCCCTCCCACAGAGGCTGGCTCCAGCAGCAATCCCTGCTCCGACCAGTACCGAGGCAAGTTCCCCAACTCAGAAGTGGAGGTCCAGTCCATTGTGAACTTTGTGAACCACCACGGGAACATCAAGGCCTTCATCTCCATCCACAGCTACTCCCAGCTCCTCCTTTACCCCTATGGCTACACATCAGAACCAGCCCCTGACAAGGAAGAGCTGGTAGGTGCTGCCTGTTTGCCCTTCATCCCAAGGGCAGCTTTGGGCAGGCCTGGGCTTTCACCCAACAGAGCTGCCTGATGGCTGAGAGCCAGTGTGCTCAGCACCCCCTTCTTCCCTTGTACCCCCGATGATTTGGAAAGACCAGCTACTGGACTAGCCTTTCTTTCTTTCCAGGAAACTGAGGCACAGAGTGGTTGAGCAAGGGGCAGGGCTGGACTTTCAACTTGCAGCACTACACTCAGAGCTGCACTGTAACTAAAGGGAGGGGAAGGGACAGCCATCCACATTGCAGGAACAAAGGACCATGGCGTTGTTGATCACCTGCAGGGCAGAACAGGCTCTGTGTTCTCTCCCTCGGGCCCCCTTCTGCAGGTGCTGCTCTGGGACCACCCTGCCAGCTGGACTACTCTGTCCATGATAGTGGCCTTGCTTGTGTGTTTTACAGGATAAACTGGCCAAGTCTGCTGTGACAGCTCTGTCCTCTCTGTACGGGACCAAATACAAGTATGGCAGCATCATCACAACAATCTGTAAGTGGCTGTACAATCTCTCTAGGTAGTCCCCAGACCAACATCAGCTGGCTCTTCCTGCCCAAGGGAGCATCCCTCATGGAAGGAAGCAGCCAAAGGCACCCGGACCTGGGAGCATGGGTGTGCACCCAGGTCCCTTATGCCTGACAACTTCTGGTTTGGTCATTTGGAGAAGTGCACAGAACCTTTTTCTGGCATGAACTTGTCTTCTTTGACGCTTTCAATTGTGGGTTCCTTTGAGCACGCTTGTCACTTTAGCTTGTCAGGACTCATGCATGGATGGGGTGGAGAGCTCTGCTGGAACTCACAGATCCCCAGGAAATTCAATTAAAGAAAACACTTCTCCACCACCCTTTAATTAAGGAGTATACTTGATCTTTTCCCCACTTGCTTATACTGTACATGCGATGCCCGTGGGAGAAGCATTACTATACGGAAATGGAATTCAGTCAGCAAATGCTTAGTGAGCACCCATTCTGCACCAGGCCCTGTTTTGTGTGCTTGGGATATAACTATGAATAAAATAAGCAAAGATCAGAAAACGTATGCTCTAGGAGAGGAGACTGATAACCATCTTAAGTAAACAATTCAGGTTAGGCAAAAAAATGCTGGGGAGAAAAACTGGCACCAGAGCTGGGTGAGGAGAATCGGGCAGCACAGTGTGGAGGTTAAAAACTGAGGGTTAGAGGCAAGTGGCTGGAGGCAGGTGGAATTTGGGCCAGAGTTGAAGGAAATGAGCAGGAAACCAAGAGGATATCTATTTAGGAAAGGGCCTTCCAGGCAGAAGGCCCTGGCCTGGTGTGTTTTGGGAATAGCCAGGAAACTGAATTGGAGTACTGGAAGTCAGAAGTGGGGTACAGGGAACAGAGGGGTGGACTGCTCACCCACCTCATGTACTTCCTGGCCCATGTGCCCAGGTTTTAGGGGGTGAGTGGATCACAGTCTTACCCAGGGATAACTTCATTTTTGATCCCAGACCTTCTTTAGAAACTGTTCCGATTCTAAAGGAGTTTTTTGCATTTGACATCATCAAGTTAAATTCTTTCTTATTTTTTTTAAACTGAGGATTAAACCCAGGGGCACTTAACCACTGAGTGACATCCCCAGCCTTTTTTTTTTTTTTTAATATTTTATTTAGAGACAGGGTCTTGCTAAGTTGCTGAGGCTGGATTTGAACTCATGATCTTCCTGCTTTAGGCTCCCAAGCCACTGGGATTACAGGCATGCGCCATGATGCTCAGCAGTCAAGTTAAATTCTGATATGCAACCTGCCTCTGTCTCCCCCAGCTCAATTTGAAAGTGACTTCATTACCCACAGTTCACTGCAAACCTGGAAAACTTTCTCCCTAAAAGACAGACCCAGGGCTTTCACTTTGACTCTGAATCTTTGCACTTTTACCTGCAGACCAGAGCCCCCAGAGAATTAAACCTCCTCTTCTAAATGGAGAATTCTGGTATATATATATTTTAAATTCTGGTATATTTCGAGGTGTCCTTGAGGTGACTATTGGATGGAGACACTTTTCAGACAGGCTTTTGCAACTGTGTTCCCCAATGAATGGGGCAACCAATGCTGGCCTCCTCTTTGGGCTTTTTGGGCTTAGGCCCAGCAGGAATTTCTTAGAAGCCAGGCTGCTTAGTCAACAGCAGACCTTGCTAGACACAGACTCTGCTTGGCATTGCACAAGGCTTGGTGCTTTGGGTTGCTAACCTGGCCTATGTAAATGTTTCCAAGATGACCGACCCTTCCTCTTTTTTCACTCTGGCCCCAGATCAAGCCAGTGGAAGCACTGTTGACTGGACCTACAACCAGGGCATCAAGTACTCCTTTACTTTCGAGCTCCGGGACAGTGGGCGCTATGGCTTCTTGCTGCCAGCCTCTCAGATCGTCCCTACTGCTCAGGAGACATGGCTGGCGCTTATGACCATCATGGAGTACACCCTGAATCACCCCTACTGAACTGGCCCTTTGGCACCCTTCTCCCTCCTCTCTGGCCCCATCCAAATAAAGTTTGAGAATACAAAGTGCAGAATCTTGGGGCTTGTATGTGGAGTGCATGGGGCACATCCACCTCTGAAAGTTGGGGCAGAAGTGATTTAGTTCCTGCAGACCTCATTGGAAACATGTGGGTGGTTAGGCTAAAGGACCCCTAACTCCCCTGTATTTCAGGATCCTGTATCCAAGTGGTATCTATTTTAATTAGATCACCCTGAGCTCATCTCGTCAGGGGCGATTTGTGCATATCTTGGAAGCAGGCAGCTGCCACAGCTGCAAAGCAAATGCCCAGAACCCCATGGTGACAAGGAATTCAGCTGGTTGTAGCCATCGTCTACAAAAGCAATAACCTGGAATGTGAGAGAGAATAATACTGGTGACTGCAGATGTTGCAGTCAAGTCAAACAGATTACTATAAAGCAAGATATGGCCTCCCACTCCTTAATTACATTGGAAGAAAATAATTGGGTGAAATGAAATCATTCGCTGAAGATAAAGAATGAATTGCCAATCCAGGGACATTTTCATTAATTGTAATATAGCCCAAAGGTTCTGCCTTTAAGGGTAGAGGTGTGGTTAATTTTTCATTTGCAACATCTTTTTCAGCATCCCCTGCACATCACCTGTGCTCCCTCCAGTTCCCACCCCCTGCCTTTCTGTTCTCCTGCCCATATTCCCTACATGGCTTGAAGTTGGCATCCCTCCCTGGGCTTGGGAATCCTGAGGACTGTGGCAGTATACTAGTGACTAGTACCATGGCACACAGAGTATCCCAGCTTTTTAAAAAATAAGACTCTACTTTTTTGCTTCTTTCTCCATATTTCTTAAGATGTAAATGTGGAGCTGGGGTCACTACACAGAAGTCACTGGGGCCTGGACTAGGGTCTGGGTGAGGATGGGGACATCTCCCTGAATTTGCCAGCTCAGATCTCAAGCTGCCTCCAGCTCTACTGACTTGAATCTTGTCTTTTTCACAAAAGGTGGTCTGAAAGTCAACTTTTTTTTTTTTTGTCATTTTATGAGGGATATGAGGGAGTTTTCATCTTGGAGTTCTATTTTAATAGTGCTTTTGCTACCAAACATTCTGAAAAACAAGAACAAAGCTGACTATACATACAGTATATATAAACTGCATACATAAGTTTATGAGACAAGGTGAGGTGTTTGGGTATCTATAGAAGGATAACCTAAAGATTTGAAAATATTCCCTTTGTGTTATGTTTTGAGAAACATCCTCCTCCACCCATACAATAATATTGTAGATCAGGGCTGGGTTTGTGGCTTAGTAGTAGAGCACTTTCTAGCACATGAGAGGCTCTGGGTTCCATTCTCAGCACCACATAAAAATTAAAATAAATAAATATAAATAAAATAAAAGTATTGGGTCCATCTAAAACTAAAAAAGAAAAAATTAAACAAAACAAAAAAAGATCGTAGATCAGCTCAACCTATTTTTACTGCTTAGTTTGGCCAAGTAGAAAGACAATCACCTTTTATTTAATAAAGCCTGGTAAGAAAAGAAAATTTAGTAAGATGACTTTAGTAATAATACAATTAATATCAATCATAATAAATGCTTATTAAATGGAGACATGGAAGTTATGAATACTTAAAAATTTTTTCAACTGTGGGAAGAGCTTTACATTTTGTTTGCAAACATTTTTATCAAATGTAAAAATTATGAATAAAAACATAAAATAATGCATTTAGAAAATATCATAACTTATATGAAAATATTAATGATCTTGAGGGGGTTGAAAGTACAAGTAAGTAAAGGGAGGTTTAAGGAAAAGACTAACAGTTCAAAAGATAAATAAGCAATTCCCAAAAGCAGAAACAGAAAAAGTAATTGTAAGAAAGATACTGATCCTCAGTGATTCCTTGCACATCAAAGAAAAACAAAGTTGTCATTTTTCTCTCATTGGCTTGGCTTAGAATAAAAGACTGATGACTCAGTGTTATCAACGGCAGGAAGGAGTAAGGACAGTCACATACTGTCGGTGGGAAGATAAATTTGTGCCACCTTTCTGGAGGGCAAATTTGGCAATATAAGACATTTAAATATATTGCTTCTTTGACCCAGAAAATCCACATGGAAGAATTTATTTTATAAAAACATGTGGACAAGTTAAAAAATATGTAGGCACAAGATTGGAATAGTAAAAAGTCAAACAAAAAGGGAAAAGAATGTAAAGAACAATCAGTATTGATACTAATATGACACACGCCCATGACGGAATAACATCTCGAAGCAATAAGATCTGTGTTGACATGGACAAAATGTTCACAGCACTTTAAGAGAAAGAAGCTGGCTACAGGTGGAAGTATTCCAAAACTGGATTGTGATGGCTGTGCAATTCTGTAAATGTATTAAAAAATCCTTGCATACTTAAAATGGGTGAATTTGACAGCATGTGATTTGGACTTTAATAATTAGAGTGAGTTTTTTTAAAAAAATAATTTGGTCAAATTAGGAATACAAACAATAATAAATGTTGGAGAGGATGTGGAAAAAAAGGAACACCTTTATACTCTTGATGGGATTGTAAATTAGTATAAGCACTATGGAAATGAATATGGAGGATCCTCAAAAGACGAGGCATGGAACACCATATGACCCAGCTAAACCACTCCTAGGTATTTATCCTAAGAAAATAAAGTCATCATACTACATATTTATAGATGAACAATTCACAATAGCCAAACTATGGAACCAACCTCAGTGTCTCTCAAGGGATGAACTGACTAAAAAAAAAATGTGGTATATATACACACAATGGAGTTTTATTCAGCCATAAAGAAAATATGTCATTTGCAGGAAAATGGATGGAACTTGAGAGCATTATGTTAAGTGAAATGAGCCAAACTCAAGAGGTCTAGGGTCATATGTTTTCTCTCATGTGCAGAAGCTAGAAAGGAAAAAGGAAAAGAAAGTTGCAGGGAGCAGGAAACCACATGAAAATTAAAGGGAGATCCATAAAGGCAAGGGACCAGGGGGAGACAGGATGGGAAGCAAAAGGGAAATACTGGGGAATATCGGGCCAATTACATTGTGTTTATATATGCATATGCAACAGATGCCACCACTATGTACAACTATAATGTACTAACAAAAATATGGAAAAAAATAATTTGACTGTTGAATATGAATCCCATTTTTGTTTAAAACACACAAACAGGTGATACTCAGGACATATCCCCCAATAATAACTATGTCTAACTTGGGTAGTGCTAGTAGATTTGCTCTTTATGATTTTCAGAATTTCTTACAATGAGCTTTAATAATCAATGTTTATTTGGGGATGTTTATCCCCAAAACACACCAGATAATGAATCTGTGCACAAAGCTACCCTAACATCCACTTCTTTTCAATATCAAACATCTGAATGGGCATCTTAGTCTTTGCTCAGATTCTTTTTTAGAATTTGTCTAATCTCACTTCTTCTGTTCTGGCCTCTTATTTCACCATCTTTCCCAGAACACTGCAGTTTATCTTATCTTCAGAAAAATTTACACTCCAGATATAGCTGGAAGCAGCAGTGTTAATATCGGAACAGGGATTACTGAGGTCCCCTAAGCCCTTCCCTAAGCACTCTGCTGTAGTCCCAGTGGAAATTCCCAAGAGCCCTTTCTGCTCACATTCAGCTCCCATCACAATCTTGGGAATTGATTATGCCAACGCCTATTCTCCAGGGCTCCTCAAAGATCTTTAAGTGAAGTCATTTTATTTCTTCCTTACACCACTACAGATGGTTCTCAAATGTCGCCTGGGGGTGGTTGGTGGTCCACAAGAATCTTCCAGGTAGTCTCCGAATTAACACTCAGATATGCACCTCTAGTTCTCTGGCTTTGGCCTGAAGTTAAAATTGAAAAATCATTGAATAAGATCCAGATATGACCTCACTGATCCCTCATCCAGTGCAGAGCTATTCATCATCCTGGCGATTGTTCTGCAAGGGCAAGTGGGACTAGGTGGATCTGAGGATGCACAGGGGCTCTGGTTGGAAGGACTATGGGAACATCATTCCCTGAACACACTAAGATCCAGATGCTACTTTTAGAGGAAACTGGTATGACCAACCCATACATTCAGAGTGGTCAGGCCAAGGAAGGTCTCTGAGAAAAGTACAGAGCACACATTATATCTGAAAAACTGTCAAAGGGTAATGAATTCTTCCCCAAAGCTTTCAGGATCCGCATTAATTTGGCAACTCAAACTGCGAGCAACATCTAACAACCCCAGAGACCAAGACTGCCAAGTGTTTATTGCCAAAGTAAAAGGAGAAAATTAAAAGTCTCTGCTTAACCACAGCTGTGGTGTCAGCTACATTTTTAGAACAGTGCAGTGGAAATAAAGGCTTTGCTGACATGGGCTGCAGGTTTGCCTCTGTTTCCCCAAGAAACTCAGGCCTGTGGTCATGGGTCGATTTTCACAATTTATGTTTCAGCCTGAATTAGAAACATCATGACAAAGGAAAGAAGAGATAGACACAAAGCACATCAAGATGGTTTATTAAATGAATAGTTCAATCTATCTGGAAAACAGCCTAATCCCCCACCCCCCAATCTAGTTAAAAGTTTGTAACTCTCATTCTTTAAGTAGAAGACATGGGTGTCCACTGACAAAATAAACCTCAGAAACCCTGGATCAATTTTCTTTTAAGATAGGACCCTGTACACTGACATATTCAGTGGAAAAAAACTATATTCCAGGGCACAGGTGTTTTTAGTTCGTAATTTTCCACTGCCTTTTGTGCAGGTGGCAGGAGGAAGCCTTCCTGAGGAATCTCAGTGATGAGGAGGGAAGGGAAGCCAAGGGCAGGCTACATTTTCACTGGGAAATAGAGGTACTGCCAAGGGGGACCAAACCTGGCTGTGCCTACCCAGAGGTACTGCCAAGGGGGACCAAACCTGGCTGTGCCTACCCAGAGTGGGAAGCTCAGGGTAGAGTGCCTATGAGAACATGCTCTGTCGTCCTCAGGCTGGGTCCTAGCTTCCCAGCAACTACTCAATGATTCAGGGTGAGCTGCTTCATTCCACCCAAACTTTAGCCTCCTCAGCTGAAAAGGTAGACGCCAGCCTCACAGGACTGCTTGAGAATTAAACCAGTCAAAACACATTGGAAGGACTATGGGAACGTGTGAGGCACTGAGTTTGCTCCTCCATACACATATAAATAAATAAAATAAAGGTATTGTGTCAATCTACAACTAAATATGTACACACACACACACACACACAAAATGGAGTATCTGAAAGTGCTACCTAACACATAGTAGGTGCTCTATAAGTGTCTGATAGTATCTGGAAAGCTTCAAGATTTGGAAAAAATCTCTCTGATGGGGATGGCAGCAACTTAGAAGGCTACTGAGAAGACAGTGAAAACAGACCTGGCAGGTGGCAGTCAGCCAGGGAACAACTACCCAATTAGCCCCTCTGAGCACCTTCCACAGAGGAAGATCCAAAAACTAGATGCACAAGGGGACAAAACAAGCTTCCTAAGCCTCCAGAACATACAGTGGCATCGAATGGCCACCATAATGGACTTCAGTCTTGATTTATGTATTAAAGAACACTTACTTAAGGGCCACTGTCACAGAGTTGGTGATCTGCACCCTCTAGGAGATTATTAAGGTCTAAGTGATTTCAAAGGGAAGACACAGTGATCTCCTTTAACAGAATGTAGTTCATGAGTCAATAGCATTTAATAATCGATATCTTGTGGGCCACACATTTCACTAGGTGCCTCAGGATGTTACACAAAGAGAATTTGCTTTTGCATTCAGAACAACAATGATCAGTACCAGAAAGTGACACCATGAGGAGATCATACTGTGACAAATACAGTTTTGTCAACACAACAATATCATGTACCCTGTTCTGTCAGAATTTTGAGATGGACAAATTTCTACCATTACATTTCTTTATGTGATAACTGACCTGGATACCAATTTAAGAATGCCATCACATTAATTCCAATAATCACTACAAATCTAGGGAAGTATTACTAGCCAAATGTATTCTGAACACTTTTTAAAGCACAGTGTGTCTTATTTTTGCTTTTATATGAAAAATATATTTGCTAATCAAAAAATTGGACTGCATGTATTTAACATGCCCAATGTAATTAAACTTATAAATTATAATCCACATGTTTCTTAGGTTTTGGAAAAGGAAAGTATTATGAGACATCTTTGAAAGAAATGTGAAGAAAATAAACTCACATCAAAGACACTGAGAACATTCAGTTTTGGAACTGGAGAAAGAAAGGATCTTAATGATTATCTTCAGAGTAGAGCCAGAAGGTAATCATGGATTTGAATCCAGGTAGACAGAAATTAGTTATCCCCCTAAAAAAGTCAAATAAAATAAAAGACAGACTCTACAACCAATAAACAACATGACAGAAACTAAAACCAACACAAGAAAAATCACCTACATATTTCTTCCAGCCTAGGACTCTGGCTTCACTTATATTCCACGAGGGAATTACAGAAGAAAAGGTTTTTGTTTTGTTCTGTTTTCCTGGTGAGTAGCTTAAAGTCTTAAGAATTTTTGTAGAATCTAAACAGCACCCCAGGAAAAGTCCCTGAGTGACTAATGAACATTATGTGTTCTCTTTTAATCCTGATTTATACCAGGTCCAATATGATTGTGTTGGTTCTGGCTTCCTACTGCAGGTAAAAAATGAAAATTACTTTTAGGTCATTTGAATCATTCTATAGTTTTCAACAGACTGAACCTGACATTATTACAGCCCAGGAAGTTCTCAGTTTTTGAATGAGTCCTGCAGCTTTCTTCCCCCTCCTTTTCTGCCTCTCTTCTCCCCCTTCCCTCTTTGTTTCTTGCTTCCTTCCTTCCTCCACTCTTCTCATTCTGACATACTCATCTCTTTGAGGCATCTAACATATTATTAAAATTTGACCATCACTGACGCACAGTAGAGCAGTTACTGCACGTTGGTAAAGCGTCCTCCTTCTCAGGGGTCTCAGGCAAGGGCAGGGAATGAATGCCCAGAACACTGACAAGGAAGCTGTGACATGATCTGGCCATCAGTCCCTGCCTGAGCATGACAGGAAACCCAGGCCTTCTGACCAGAGAGCATGTCTCTGACTCTAATTGGAATGATTTCCTGATTCATTTATACAAAGAATATATGCCTTTCTAAGAGATGCAGGAAAAAAAAAAAAGGTACTCTTTCCAATCACTCCAGTCTCCTGGGGCTCCCCCAAATCATCCTGACAGGGAGGAAGAGAGAAGTTGGCAGATTTCAGCACATTAATAGCAAACGACAAATTAGTAACTATGTAACTATGTTCTTTAATCTTCAACATTCATAATTGCACAAAGTATCACTGATCATTTAAATAATACATGTCAAACAATCTAATGAAGAAAGGAGTAAGGTACAATGTTAAAAGCAATTGCTTGAGCTTATAAAAAAATGTCTGATAATAACATTTAACACTCAAAGTGCAGAATCTTGACAGGTCTTCTGAAAATTTTAAGTCCTTACCAATAGGGCAAAACACTATAGATAAACACACACAAATATATTCAACCTGCTCCGTCTCTCTGCTGAACACACAGCAATTCTGACTTCCAATATATACGTAGTGTTTCTAACATATGAAGCTGCAACTGCAGAACAGCAACAGGGGAAACTATCCTTTACTTTCAAAATAGAATCGGGTGGGGTAGTCTAGTCTCCTGACTAGCCAACTTTAAAATGGCATAACCAGAACTTTGTTACAGAGAAAAATATTTTTCCTTAAAAATGTATATGTGTTAAAGATGGCTGAAAATCTTGTCCACGCTAGGGGAAAGTTGAGTGTGGAAAAATCTGCATTTTTCTATCTATGCCTTAAAGAAAATAAAAAGCCAGAGCATTCTGGCATTAGCAAAAGGCTGAACTAAGTTCTCAGGCAATAAATTTATGGGGAAACATGACGGGCTTCTCATTAAAGCTATGTGTACATTGGCTGAATTTTATACAAGATTCTTGAATCTTGTGGAAAATTGGGCACGGCTTGACATCTGAACAATGTCCCTGGTTTGTTTGATTTCTAAAGCATCGGAAAATGTTGCACTTTGGAAATCAAGTAGAGAAGAATAAACACACTCTAAAACAGAACTGGGCTGCATCTGACTTATTTTTCCATATGTCTGCATGAAATATTTATTACGTTTATTTCTCTTACAAACATAGCCCCCACGTTAGAAATACTGCGGAGGTTTTTTTTTTTTTTTTTTTTGGTGGTGAGAAATAGTACTTTTAAGGCAAATCTTACCCAGCAGCAGTAACCACCTAAGGATAGGCAATTTTCAGTTGGCTTTCAGAAGCTGGTTGCCATGACAAAGAACACAATTTATTCCTTAGTCCCTTATCACAGCTACAATCACAGACCATAAAAATTAACAAGGCTCTTTTCCTTTTCTGTATGATTTCAGAGCTCCTCATCCTTACCTGAGGTCTTTTGTTCACCCAATTAAATAGAATGAATGTCAGTCATCTAGCAATTCAATTAATGCTGATTCAAAATTCCGGCCAAAACCAGAATCTATAATCACAACCTCCTAATCACAGCTCAGTCGTGAGAATGAAAAGTAAGCAGGAAATTGCACTAATTACTCAATTAGACTAATACTGTCTTTTAAAGCAAGGGCTTAAGGGTTGTCAGCCTGACAAAGGACTTCAGAGTCCTCCTCACCTTGTGTGTTCCTGTTGCCTGAGTGAAACTCGTGTTTTCAAGTGGTCATAATTTCTACTCATCTAACACAGATGAACTCCATCAGGCAATGGAAATTTACAACTGATATACAGACTACAAGTGAGGGACCATTCTGGTGGCTTCTAGGGGTTCCCAACATAGGCCTGTACAATGGCCAAGGTGATCCCTCTTCCCAATGTGAAGATAGGAGAGTACACACCTTTCTGGCCCCAGGAAACCATTTAACGAGGGGGCGAGGGGGAGTGCTAAAGAAAAGTAGTGCTTCTCTACAAAATCTTAAATTAAGCCATGCTCACAGGTACCAGATTCTGAACTCCCAACAGAGCCACAGCATGTTGGGCAGAGCTCTTTAGAAAGCCACTCACACCTGGTGTGGGCCTGTGGGTGGCTAGAACCAAGGCTCATACACATCCTGGGGACTGTTGCCCACGCCAAGCCCACCTGGAGAAGCCTTCATGAAATCAATAATGAACAACAAAAAAACTGGTTGGGAATAACATACCAGCAGATGTGACTGAAGTATTTACAAAACAACACTGGATATAGACCAAACAAGCTGGACCTTATTTAAAAGAGAGAGAGGTCCTTTTTTTCCTATTCAGTTTCAAAAGACTTAAATATTCTGTAAACAATAGGGAGGACACTAGAGCCTGTCATGCCTCTGGTTTTTGTGGTTATCTGTCAAAATCCTTCCCCAGCTGGCTGCAAGGAGAGGAGGGAGAGACAGGGAGAGGGAAGATGGCCTACCCGACATGGCATGGGCTTTTCTCTACAGCGGTTCTGAAAATGACCAACTTGGGAACTGCACAGGGATTCTGAAAGGAGGGGAAACATTTATTTGACTAAGTGAGATAAAGTCTTTACTTCCAGGGTTTGCCTTGCAGGTGGCCACTGCCAAGTGCTCGGGGGTTCGAGTGGCCAGCAGGGATCCCAGTGGGCAGGTTCTGACTACTGCGGGCACTAGGCACCTTGGAGTCTCTTCCAGAGGAGTTAGTTTGGTTCAGCCGGCCTGGAGGGAGCAAGAAAGAGGAGCTGAGCAACAAGAATGATTCCAGGAATAATCCGCCAAGTATACTTTTAAGCTAATGAAGTCCTAGTCTACCACCACTTTTAAGCTAATGAAGCCTGGTGCAGCATGTACTTTGGGCCAATGATGACCTATTCCTCATCCTTGAGATCCACTTGCAGTTGGGGAAGGGGGAAGGGATGGAGTGAAGCTCAGATAGCTTTTTTGCTTCCTCACTGTTATCCCCAACAAACCTAGTCTCTCATTTTTCCTTTGGTGGAAAGGGGTGCAGGATGAGGGGTGATTAGAAGAAGGAAAGAGGGGCAAAGGTAAGACAAGAGGACAAACCAGAAAGTGCTGGGTGGTGGCTTAAATGTGCCCAGAAGCAATGGAAGGAAAAGAAAACTTCCTGAGAAGAAATCTGATTGCCTTATGCTGCGCTCAACCCTGCCTGAGATGCACCCTTTGACTGATAAACTCTTCTCTATGTCTAATTCTTACCACTATCAGGGGTCACCCCTACCTCATACCTGGATCAGCCATATTTTCAGATAGTTTAAGAATCTGAATAGGAAAGTGAAGTTTTTCATATGATGAGGGAATATTTCAAGCTACAAATCTCAAGTTTCACAGAAAACAAAGGTCAAAACATCTTACTAGGATTGTCTGTGGGACCCTGATCCTCTTCCAGATAATATCCTATCTTTTTTAAGTCTTCTGGGGTAAATCTCCATTTGTTCTCAGCCGGTGGGGGTGGCACTTTGGGGCTGGATCGTTTCCGGGCAGAACCAGGAGGTGGGGCCTGCTGGCAAGATGCTGGCAGGGAACCAGTAATCAGTCCTTCTGGGAATTTCTGAGCTAAGACTTTTAGACCTAGACATAGAAGAGCATCAAAATAAATAAACAAACAAAACAAAAACAGGATTAACATGGTAAGGCCACATCAAACCCTGGGAAAAAAAGCCTGCATGTCTCCTAATCTCTGGTCACCAAGTTGAAGCCAACACAAGGACATGAAATCTTTCCTAACGGTTTCACCATTAAGCAAATTACACCAGAAAATGTTACACGGGAATGTTCTGAGAATTCCAAAAGAAATCCTTTTGCTCAAATCTTCAGCATTCTTCCAGAGCCCTGAAGCAACACTGTTATTTTAGGAATTAAAAACATGTGCAATAGAGCTAAAGGACAATTCACATAACTCCTAGTTCCTTTGAGAACACTAAATTCCATACACTGAGAAGAAAAGGTGATGGGGTGGGTTGAAGGACTGTGAGTCCACAGATCTATCTTTTAAGTCCCAAGGAGAAGGTGGCCTTGCTCACCTCCAGAAAGCATGAAGAGGTTTTCAAACCCCCGCTCACACATGGTGGTGGCCGCCTGGCTGGCCAGTCTTTCGTCGTCGTCATACAGAATGATGATCTTGCCGTGAGCATTTTTCTAAAAGATAAGTTAAGGATCCAGGCACTGAGCTAATGCTCCTAGATTCTAAGAAACCCCCAGGGTTCTTCCTTCTGAGTTCAGGAAATGTCAGAGGAGTCCGTTCTTACCCATCACACCAGCAGTTACTGGATATTTCCTGTCATGGAAACCACATGAGCTAGTTTTCTTTTCTTTTGTGAACTAGTATTACCATAGTCTGAGACAGTACTAGTTACATACTTTATTTACACCCTTTGGTTTTTTTCATCCCAGGAAGTAAATACTATACACTCTAGTATCCATTTTACAAACAAAGAATCTGGAAAACTTCTATATCCAATGTATTCACTAAAGTCTTCCTTATAATAGTAAAAAGGTGGAACCACCCAAAAGTCCAAAATAAAGGAATGATTTAATAAATTATAGTAAATCTGAAGATGAGATAATATACAGTATCAAAAATGGAGTTTACAAAGAGCTTATGTTAGGATGGGGAGACATGCTGTAATAAGAAGCGGAAAAAAAGCAAGACACTATACATACAAGTATGGTTTCAACTCTGTAACACACACACACACACACACACACACACACACAAGACAGTCCAGAATAAAATATACCAATAATATAACAGGAGCAAATGCTCCAACTGTGTGATTATGGGAGATTTCCATTTTCTTTTTTATATTTTTCAGTATTTTAATTATTTTCTACTTATACAATTTTTGTGAATGGAAAATTTTTTTAAAATCAAAAATTTTAAAGGAGAAAAAATTAAAATAGAAAAATATTTATTTCTTAAGTTCTACTTGGGTAAGCTTTCTGGTGGGAAAATATTTTAGGACTACCTTTCAACAGATCATAACCTTTCACCTAATGTTTTTTTGACCCAGCGCAACATGGTTTGAAAGCATCTGCCTTCATCATCAAGATTCTAAGCAACAGTTAGGAATCCAAATTCTCAAATATGCTAACCTGACAGCCTTCTCACCGGGAACATTCCTTCATGGTACGTTTGATTCTTGTAATCCTCATCCTATCCAACTTCTTAAAATACAACAAAGGATACATATTCAAGAATATCATTTGAATAGGGGTTCATCGTTCTAGACAGAGTTGCAATTGGGTAACTGTAAGCTGTGAAGAGAAGAAAATGTTTAGAAGTCTGTAGCTCTCAGTACAACTTGGCCCCAGTTCCCAGCTGGTTTAAAATTTAAGAGGTAAATACATTTTCAAAATCATGAGCCATAAACCTAAATACACTGGGGAATAAAAAGAAACAGGACATTATGAACAAAGAATGAAGCTTCACTTCACTGTTCACATTTAGTACTGTTGAGCCCTGAGCCATTTGAGAACCATCAGCAGCCTCTCTTAGAGCTCATGGTGGAGCCAACCTGAGAGGTTTCCATAATGGATCTAGTACACACACGGACTCCCTGTCAATGCTGGTTTTGGTTCAGCCTGCCTGGACTCAAGAACAGGCTCTGTTCCTGGGAGTGAGGTACTATAAAACCCTTTCTCTCTTACCTCCGATGATGTGGCACTGCTGGTAAGAATCTCTATCACGAACATCTAGCAGCAGGAAGGGGCAGTCAGAATAAGGTTTGTCTTTGGTGTTAGGCTCTGCTTTCTTCACTAGCCCTTTGTCTAGATCCAGTTCCCCGACACCACTGATGACGCTGTAAGGGGGAAAAATAGGTCAGGAGAAAACAGTCAGGGTTTGGTGGCTTAAAGGTCAAATGCATTTAGAACAGTGAGATGAGTGCTCAATGTCTTTTCAAAAGGCACTTCAAAGGAGAAGGTAAATGAGTACAGTATTCAGCTTCTGAATGCAGGATCCTCTGGATTCCTATTCTATCATTCTGGACCCCAAGAGGGGATCCATGTATCCATAATTACCACCAGACAATGCCTGGTGATGACATGGCCAAGGGGGTATAAAGTGTAGGGCAGCATACAGAGAAAGAAAGAGGGGAACAGTTAATTCCAAAGGATTTTGAGGAGTATAAGAAAGCAGAACAAAGACTGATAAGGACAGGAAAAAACTAAAGGTGTTTCTGTGCGTATTACATATAAATATAAAGTGGCAATAATATTTTATATATTTCCTATATAGCCAAACACCACATAATGACATTCTGATCAATAAAGGACGGCATATGCAACGGTAATCCCATAAGATTATATTGCCTAGCCATATTGTTGCCATTTTAGTTTGGTCACTGTGTAAGTACACTCTATGATGTTCCCACCATGACAAAATCACCTAACTACATGTTTGTCATAATGTTCCATCATTAAGTGACATGTGAATGTACTTACACAAGATACTGAACCTTAAAACTTTGAACAGTTAGTTATCTGCACTTATGTCCATTTGACACATTACAATGTTGAAGCTGAAGAGGTTTTTATATTTAGTGGCATTCATATAAATGAGACAGGAAGAGCTGGGATTAAACTGAGAGATTCATTACTGACAGTTCTATTTCTAAGGTCATCTAACTACTAAAATTAGTTGCCATCTTAATATTAGAGAGGAAATGTGGTGAAAACATGAATCAAAGGACTAAGATGATGAGGTGTTATGAACAAAATGGCAAGTGGTGAGCATATCTGCAGTGGACTGAGAAGATGGTTACTTTCCTAGGAATATTAAGACACATATGCTAAGCCACAGTTTAGTATGTGGTGTATTTCCTCTTCCATCACAGCACATCAAATTCTGCATTTAAATCTAATAAACACTATGACTGTATCCTATATAGTGTATATTTTGTTGAACCAAAGATGAAGAAACTCTCTTTCATATAGAACTGCATCCTCAGTAGAAGTCCTTTAGGCTATCTTTTCTTGAGAGTCTTTCACAGTAGAGATACTAATGATGGCCATCTTTTTCTAGTAGAACCTAGTTTCTCTAGTAGAATCGTTTTACCAGTAGGAGGGATGAATATATGCTAAAAATCATCTCCAGTTCTATAATCAGTGGTTAATATTTGTGAGAAAGTGCTACATGAAATAGAGCCCAAGGAATAAGAAAAACCAGTCACGTGCAATTTAAGAATCAACACAAATTGCTGCTTTCACTCTCCTTTGCTGTACTCTGGGCTTTATTTTTCTGATTTTAGACAAAGCAATTATAAGCAGCAGTAGGCAGAAAAGGGGGTAAAAATCCTACTCTGAATGAAAAAACAGTACTTATAAAGCTAAGTATTAATAATAAACTTACTACAAAAGGGCTGAGAATGGAACTTAGGAGGGAAAATGAGTACTCTTGTATTAATATAGTCATTACTGGGGACTGAGAACCCAGGAGTGTTCTACCAGTGAACTATATTTCCCATTCTTTTTTATCTTTTATTTTGAGACAGGATCAAAAATTTGCCTCCAATTTGTGATTCTCCTGCCTCAGCCTCCTGAGTAGCTGGGATTATAGGTGCATGCCATTGTGCCTGGCTAATATATTCTTATATTAATTCAGTAAGACTGTGGTGAAAAAGATTCAGGAGATGGCATTTAAATAAAGAAAAAGTAGAAGGGCCAGAATTAAAATATAGGACCTCACTACTGCCAGCTCTGTTTCTAAGGTAATTAAATCACCGAAATTGGTGTTTAGATTAATCTGAAGGTAAAATGTGACTTGGATGAGAGTACCTCTGAAGAGTGGAGCGACTAGAGTCCCCTGCTCCCGCACTGTTGATGAACTCGACTGGGCTGGGTGACTGCTCACCCGGGTTCCCTTTTCCATTGGTCCTGGCAGCAATTTCAGCATCGGGGTCTGAAGTTGCAGAATCATTGTCTAAAATTGCAAATGAGACAATTAAATTTAACCTCAGAATTTGTACTTACTTATATTAAGTAGCTCCACAGAAATGAAGTCAAGAAAAGAAAATCTTATCACCATTATTAAATTTTTCTAGAAGTTGTAATGCACAGGTTCTCAAAATGCAGAAGACCCCAGGAGTCCCCAAAACCCTTTCAGTGGCGGGGCAGGTCTGCAAGGTGAAAACTATTTTTATAAGATGCTATTTTATCTTTTTTACTGGGTTGATATTTGTACTAATGGTGCAAAAGAATTAGTGGATAAAACACTAGCTCTAGCGAGAATAAAGGCAATGGTACCAAACTTTACTAGCAATCCCATTTTCACTCTCATGTGTGCACTTACAGAAAATAAGTACAGCAGTCACATAAAAAATGTCCCTGATAAACAATAATAATTAATAATTTTATTAAATCTCACTTTAAAGTGAGTACACATCTTTTTAATGTTCTGTGTGATGAAATGGGGAGTCCACATAAGTCAAGTATGCTACATATGTCACTGCCGTGGTTATCTCAAGAAAAAGTATCAGAGTGACTGCTGAGCGGCAGCTGAGCCAGCTGTTTTTGCCGTGGACACCTTTTTTGCTTAGAAGGAAAACTGACAGGAAAGCTCTTGTTATTTACACTTGTGTATTTTGTAGACATTGCCTCAAAAATGTATTAAGTGAGCCTGTCAATTCAAGGAAAACAACGGATGGTATTTGTTGTCAATGATTAAATTTTGAGCAAAACCCAGGATTTTAGAAACTGTATTTGCCATCGGGCACTGAAGTATGAGGAACTGCTTCCCCATACTTATAGATGTTTCTGGGAAAATAAATGGTGAGATTAAAAATGTGATTTTTTTGATAGTGTGTAAAGAAATATGTCAATATAAGATCACCATAACTCAGTGAAATGATATTTTCCAAATGACCACTGCAAGATATAAAATCATGCATGGGTAAAAGATTCATTGAACGTGCAAAACAGACCAATGGATTTCAATGTAACCAAGTGTGAATGGTTCATTGATTTAGATTCTACTTTACAGCTAGCCGTTAAGAAATGACAAGTTGTCAAGTTTTAGTGTAGTATCAATGAAAAATATCTAGAGTTATCTGAAAAGGCTATTAAAATACTCTTCCTCTTCCAACTACAGGTCCATGTGAGGCAAGATTTCTTCGTATACTTCAACCCAAATAGTACATTTCAACAGACTGAGTGTAGAAGCAGATGTCAGAATCAGCTGCCTTCTATTAAACCAGACATGAAAGAGATTTACAAAATATGTAAAACAATGCCACCCTCTCTGTAAAATTTTGTTTTAGAAATATAGTTATTTTTCATTAAAATGCATTTTTATGGGCTCGGGATGTGGCTCAGTGGAAGAACACGTGCTTGGCACACATGAGGCCCTAGGTTCAAACCACAGTAACATACACACTAAGTTTTTGTGTTTGTAATGGGTTTAATATTGTTATTTTTAACTGAAATAATAAATATTGTTTAAGTTGTCAGTTTAAAAAGTTAGCACACTAAATATTAATAGAAATAATCTATATAAACCAAGGTTCTTTGAGGTCCTCGATAATTTTTAAGAATGAAGAAGGACACTGAGATAGAAATGTTTGGGAATTTGCAGTTTAACCAATACAAGAAGAAAGGAAACAGAAATAAGAGGCCTCACTTAAAAAAGGATATGAAAATTTAATATGCCTATTATATGATCATATACCTAGAAACTTCAAGAGAATACAGACACTAAACATGTGGTTAAGATTTTTTAAATGCTAATAAATATTTTTCCTAGGTATTTATTTGAACATGAAAAAAATCACACAGTACCTGCAGCTGTGAAATACTCTCAGAAATAAACCAAAACAACTGTAAAGGATTTATAAAACTTATAGGACTTAAGACAAATTTTACTTAGGGGTCTTAAAGGAAACCTCAATAAAGAAAGTGCCACACCTTGCATATTTCTGAGTGGTTGTCTAAAGGTGAAATGGTGTTAATCCTTTTCAAACTTAATTTTCATCTTGTAATACTAATCACAATAGATTTTGTAAGTGGTGCTGGGGATTGAATTCAATCTAGACAAGTGCTCTACCACTAAGCCATATCCCAGCCCTAAAAAAAAAAAAAAAAATTTAAAGATGAACACACACACACACACACACATATAAATAAAATTAAGGATAATTTCAACAAACTGCCTTATCAAATAAATAGTAACATAAATGATCAAAATAGTACAGAACTATAACAATGGAATATAACACAGAACTTGGAAACAAATCCTAGAACATACATAAAAAGTTAAAGATGCACAGCTCAAATCAGTGGGTAAAGTGAAAACTACTAAATGGGTGCTGGAAGTATTTCTCAACTATCTGAAAAGAGTCTAATTTAGATAATCACCTTACATCATATACCAAAATATATAACAGATAGTTTAAATATAGAAAACACACACACACAAACAAACACCCAATAGAAGAAGATACAGGCAAACACTTTATCTTATTTTGGAGATTATTAGTCTAAAGCAATAAAAGAAAACACAAAAATAAAGGCTAATAGGTTTGATTATATAAAAATGCAAATTTCATATATTTCAAAAACCAACACAAAGAAAATTAAAAGATGAATAACAAATTAGGAAAAGTATTTGTAACAAAGATGTATATGCTTAATTTATAGCTTTTAAAAATTAGCTCTTTAATTGAATAAAGATCATGTGCACAGGGTGAAACTGCAAGCCAGATGAAACTGTTGCTATGGATAGAAAGCCCTCCCAGACCCTCCTTCCAGAAATAAAACAACTACAAACCTGTGTATGTATTTTACTTCTTCTCCCTTATACATAGCCAGGATAATTTCATTCATACTGTTCTATACTTTGGGTTTTTATTTTGGTGTTGTTTTATTTTCACTTAATAATATACCTTGGAAATTGTTCCAAATAATCAAGTAAAGATTTTTCTCATTTATTTTCAAGGTTGTATTTATTTCCATTATATAAAGATATCAATTATTCAGAGCTCTTACAAATCAATAAGAAAAAAAAGAATTTTTTTTTATTCCTATTAAAAAAGAAAAGAAAATGGCTCAGAGCTTAAAAAAAGAAGTATGTATAACTAACCAATAAATAAATGTGTGCACGCATATACACATACACCCCTCAAAGTCATTATCAAAGAAGTAAAAAATAAAACTACTAGATACCATTTTTCATCCATTGAATTGGCAAATATATTTAAAAATGATAATTATTCAGCACTGGATAGGATGGGAGAATCAAGTCTTCCCATCACTCCCAATGGGGTGCATCTAGGTACAGCCATGCTGGAAAGTGGCAGTCAGCATGGAGTCATAATGGTTCTACCCTTTGACCATCTGCAGCAATTTATCTTCAGAGAATAAGGAGAGTCATAGCATGCATATATATATATATATATATATATATATATATATATATACTGCAGCAGCATTTTATTAAAGTGAAAAATCAGAAAAGAATGCAATGCCCAACAATAGGAGGATAATTAAATTATGGTATATCCCTAGGATAAACCTACGACTACAACCTTTCCAATCATTCTTTTGAAGTCTATTTAACAACATAGGAAAGTATGCATGAAAAATGTTAATTAAAAGCAGTATAATACAAAACTATACACAAAGAATATGGATTTGATTGGGGTGAGGTATAAGATGCAGGAGGAAATGGACCAAAATGTTAACAATGATTATTGTTTATTTTTTCTTCTTTATATATAGTTTTTAGTTTTATAATTTACTAGGAAAATACTTTTAAGTTAGAAAAAAAGTAATAAACATTGTAAAAGGAGATTTCAGAATTCTTCAAAGATGACCAGTACACATTCAGATAGGATCTGTTCTACAGGCACTCCTGAGTGAGTTATTATCTGTGTAGAGCACTAGAAAAACACTAATATTACTCACACATTATGGTGTCCTACTTTACAAGAGCCTATTTTGCTGCGCAAATTTATCTCAGAAGAGAAAATTGCATGTGCCCATATGTTCTGGTGCTGCAATCTCAACAATGAATTAAAGGACCAAATCTAGGTTCTTATATAACCCAGTTAAAATTGGGAGTACTTGTATGAGGAGACTCAATTATCTCTGTTACAAAGAGCCCTTATTTCTCTGCCGTGTGAGAGGCATCTGTCAAAGATAAATTCCTGTCGTTTTCAGATTCTCTTTATTCTCTCTAACAAAAACCAGCCCAGGGAAATGACAGTTGAGTTGCACAAAACCAGTGTTCAGACTTCCTGAGAAACTTGTCTTGAATTCAGAAGTCAAATTCCTGACCTACATCAACCTTAACAAACACATTCTCCTTCAGTAAACAGCCACACATTGATTGCGGGGTACTTCAGGATAAAATCAAGACCTGAAGTCTATGTATTCTTTTCATGAGCGTACAACTACAGAGGTTTTATTTTCCACTCTGTATTTAAGAAAGGAAATCTGGAGCCTGCTTATCTTTCTAGCCTTATCTCCTATCCAGTGCCTACTCCTCCTTTAGTCCACAGTCAGACTGGATGAATTGATTCCCTAAACATGCCTGGTGTCCTTTCCTCTCTATGCCTTTCTCAGGCTATTCCTCAACTTGTAAAATTCTTATCTTAACCTTGCACTCCCACAAGGCCCCTATGGAATGCCTTGAAGAATCCTGCTTCAGTCTTCCAAGTGGAAAGAACTTTTCCTTCCTTGTATCTCCCCTAGTAACCTGCATCTTTCTCAAGAAATTTTCCAGAATCCTTTCATGAGGTATGAGAAGACACTGGTTACATAGGAGACACTTGGATTAGTGTCCCAGGTCCATTCCTTGCTAGCTGTATCACCCTGAGCAAGAGATTTAACTTCTAAGGCTTGGTCTTCTTATCTATAAAGTGTATGCTCCTTCCAGAGTTCTTGAGAAGATTAAGAAAAGTAAAATGAAGTACCTAGCAACATATACTCAACAAATGATGGTTGCCTTTCATTTTTCCATTATTAGATCCTGCTGCATTAGTAATTCTATTGTACTGTTTATTCTCTTCACCCATCACATGTACTGGTATGCATGTGTGCACATGGTGACTACAAATTCCACATAAGCAGAATTGTTTGGTTCGACTACATAGCCCTGAATTCTGTGACCTGTATATATAGAGAAAGCACTAAAAATATTTTGAAAAAAAGTAAATAGTATATGAAACAAATCTACAATGTTAGATGTGTTAGACATGCTCTACATGTGTTAGACCCAGAAAACCAGATGGCTTTTTTTAAAGAAATAAGAATTAACAATTTAAGCACCAGGCAGCATTTCTAGGAGTAACAATAGGATTAAAATAGTTATATCAAAGTCCTGAGTCCTTATAAACACACCAGCAAATGTAGAATGAGTACAATAAAGTGGTCAATCTTCTATTTTCCCCACGTCCTGGATTCTCATTACCTTCTAGCCTTTGGATCTCCTCAGTTGTCACTTCCAGTGTTTGATCAGATAGAGAAGCAACTTGGATGACCTGAGAGAAAAAGAACAAAATGTGTAAATGTGTGTATATTTGTTTAAGCAGAGACAATTCTGTCTTTTACAAAAGACCAGGAAACATCAAAGATCAAAGATCTCTTGTTTTAAGCAGCTGTCAGTGTCTTGAACTATAGACTAAGTCTCAGGCTTTTCTACTTTCAGGGTGGTAATTATATTGCAGATGATCATTCCAGAAGAAGAGATTCATGTAAAATATTACATGACAAACTTAAAAGACCAAAAGGATAACTTAGGACAAGAAACATGAATAAGAGCTTAAAACTACATCTGTTCTCAACATATTGTGGTCTCAACATGACACAGTATTTCTTAAAAATGCAATACTAACCTACAAAAACGTATACAGTATTGACAATGCTCATGTAATGAGGAAATAAATGTAATTATGAATATACTTATTATATAATAAGTTACAGTACTTTATACCTAAATACAGTATTCATTTTTCAAGCTTTTCTCATAACTTAGCTTATAAGGCCCAAAATCCAACTTGAGTTATGCCAATGTAACTCTTGTTTGGGGGCTAGAGAGGTAGCTTATCCATACATTTAAAAATGAAAGAAGAAAATGACTTGCCCAAAATAACAAAATAAATTACAATGGAACTGAAAAGACCTCAGTCATAGAAGAAGGAAAATCACTTGGGTTCCACAGGGGACAATATTCAAAAAAATTCTGAATCTAGAATTCTAGATTCTAAATATCGAGTTAAACGTAGAAGGTAAAATAAAACCTAAGCCATAGATTTTAAGAATTTAAAGCAGAATGCACATTTACTGGGGCTGGGGATGTGGCTCAAGCGGTAGCGCGCTCGCCTGGCATGCGTGCAGCCCGGGTTCGATCCTCAGCACCACATACAAAATAAAGATGTTGTGTCCGCCAAAAAATAAATATTTAAAAAAACCTCTCTCTTTAAAAAAAATTTAAAAAAAAAAGAATGCACATTTACTTACTTTACAGAATTCTTACTGAATAAAAGAGAAAAATTTCACACCATCTTTATGTAAACATTCAGACCGCATACCAATTAATCCTCCCACAGGTGAAATTTGAAGAATCAGAAACAATTCTTCTGCACAATCCCTAGAGCTGAATTTAGAAATGTTCACATAAAGCAGCACAAGTTGGTTTTAACTCCAATAGAAAGATCATTAAACTTACCAGCTGGGCAAAAGTGGTAACTTTTAGTCTCTTGAAAAGCTCATCTTTTTTGTATCTATAATCTGAAAAGCAGAATAAGACATGTTTATTTGGGTCTATTTTGCTTTCTTAGAGATTAAGACTTTCTAGTCATCAAGTCATATGTTATATCTTTCTAGTCATTTATGCTTTTACATGTATTATTTCATTTGATCTTCATGATATGCTCAGAACCAGGCAGGCATTTAGTGCTACCATCTCTTCATTTCCCCCTTGGTTTTGGTCATCAAGAGCACAGTCTGCCATTTTCCTTTTACTAAGCTGTCTCTACTGTGGTCATGTTGTATGGCATGCACTTTTGTAAGCTGCCTCAAATCCTTTTCAGGACAAACAGGGAATAAATGTCTACATTTTACAAAGGAGGACAGAGATCCAGAGAAGCTGAGTTACCCCAGGCCAAATGGCTAGTACAATGTTTACACCCTACTATTCTGACTTTGGCTTCAAAAGAGAGCAATCCTTTTCCTGTGGTTGAAACTATGCTAGAGACATTGGGACAACGTGTGTGCATGCACGAATGCATGCTGGGCATGAAGTTGTGACTGGTTCTGATAATATCAGTTTCTCTTAAAAAATGAGTTTTGTAAGACAAAAAAGTTCTGAAGATCTGTTCCATAACAATGAGAATATACTTAACACTATTAAACTGTACACTTAAAATGGTTCAGATGGCAAATTTTATATTTTGTGTTTTTATCACAATTAAACAAAAAAGTAAAAGCCAACCTAAAACACTGACATTTATTCAGTGCTATCTTTATAGTTTTTATTATAACTCAAATGGGGGGTACTTTATATTTGTGTTAATAGTTTTCATATCACATTAAACAGTTACTAAAAACTGAGCCAATGTCACTTTATCAAGTATCTAACCTGTAGATATCTGTTAGAAGTTAGTTTCCTTAAACTTCTGAAGATGACTGTCAATTCTGAAGCATTTTCAGTGTTGAACTCTGCCCACCCTTATCCTTCCCTCCTCTTCTAGATTTTTGTGTTTGTGTCCAAGACTCCTTAAATACTGCCTCATTATTTCAGAATTACTGAAGGTTAGCTGGATAATTGCTATGGCCTTCACAGCATAAATGTCTCATAAACCAAGACTCCTAGCAACAAGGGAAAGGATTAAAGGTATTTAAGATTATTTACTTGGTGTTGCTAATCAGTTCCACGAATTCTCAAAAAACCCAGCATAGACCGGATGGTTACTTTGGAGGATAATGTAAGCTTGGTTGAACAAATACCTTGATATTCAGAGTCAGGAGATGACACTACCTTAAAAACTAGTCTTCTGTAAATATTTCAAGACTCTTTCTTGCAGGGAATTAAAACTTCTGTTCTAAAATGTCTTGAGGAGAAAAATTTGGCAAATAAACTACCACTTATAGAAAATTCTTAGAGCAGCTTCTTCAGCATATAGTAAGGTAATAAGGCTCAACAGAGCTTCCAAAATCTGCCAGGATGAACATCTGAACAGGCTGAGCAGAAGCTTCAAAAAGTGAAGTGAGTAACTACAGCATTCCCCTCCATTGCCACCAACTTCACACCAAAAGTCACCTCCGTAAATCAAAACAGCAATAAATCAGTCATGGAAAAAGTCGATAACTTTCAAGTCATTTGTACATTTATCCACTGAAATTCTTTTAGTATGGTTACATAGTTTCAAAGACTTTTAAGCATAAAGCATTAAACATTAAAATCCCATTTAACTAAACAGAGATTACATTAGACAAACACCAGGCTTTGCTGCATTCTAAGGACTGGCATTCCTATCGTCCTCTGTACAAAGCCCCCTGCACTGCACCCTGGAGCCTGAATGCCACGTACCTGGTTCTGGTTTAGAAGAAGAGCCATCAGTAGAACTTTCTGACATTATTACTTTGAGATAAAAGATCAAATTAGACGTCTTATAGTAAGTTTTAAACTCTATCAAAAGGAAGGCTTGGAAGGCTCTGTCAGCCTTCCTTGCAAAAGCAAACAGCTTTAAGAATGGAGCTTCTGCTACTGAGGCTTCTCTCAGATGCTGGTAGGGGACTAGAAAATTCCAGCTCAGATGTGCTATCAAGGTTTGCTTCTCCAGTGAGCCTAGGATCTGAGTCTGCCTCTCTCGAGTTACTGGAAGGACAGAGACCTGACTATCTAGGATGTTTCACATTGGATCCAACTAGTGTCATTTAACTACCAGGCACCAAGAATAGGCTTTGTAAACAGTCAATAGTCACAGTGTCTGTTTTCCCCAGGTAGAGTTGAAAGAATGTTCAGATTACAAAGGATTTCTGCGTTTGCAGGCATCTGTTAAAATGTGTTATTAGCAAATAAAAGGGAAGTTGGGCTCACAGTGGAAGACAAATCAAAGGAAGTACCAGGACAAGGTCTGATTTCACAGACAGACGTGGCATCTGAGGTAATGTGGGCAGTGATGGGTCTAGCTAGAGTATCTTGCAACTACCTCCCTCTCCACCAAAGAACAGAACAAGGGAGGAGAGAAGGAAATAGATTCCAAAATGTAGATACCAAACCAGAACTAAGGCAATTCTGTCGAAATGAGCACAAAGCAAGTGATCAAGTTAAGTGGAAACTCTGGCCTTATTAAAAGGAAGCCCCCAACTTCTAAGGGCGGAAGGTGAGTGAACATTTTCAAGGATGCTATTGCAAGAGTATTTCTTTTTAGAGAACCTACACTAAGGGTTTAGATATTCAAGATATCACACTGTACTCTAAAGAAATGTTTTAAGCAAGGTTCTACCAATTTGAGTAGAATGGGACATTTTTATGGGACAATTTCTGGTGAGAACATGTGAGCTTACACTCAGCTACAAATGGAAAGGGAGTCAAAAGAGACCACAAACTCAAATAGAAGCAGGCTGGCTGGATGTCGCCTGCTCTGGCTGAATTGAGGATGACAACAATGAAATGTAGGTGAGTAAACAAGATTTTTTTCATGGTTTGGAAATTCAATATATTTCATATATGTTTTCTATGGACACATATGTATATACTTAAATAATAACACAAAATGTATAAAAGGAAAAGGGGAGGATCCTGTAATATTACACATTTTTAAAAAGTGTTTATAGCACAATCTCTTCTAACTGAACATGGTACATAAAGGCAGTCAGTACAAAGCTGCTCCCAAGTCCACATCTATAGTACAGGGTTTCCCTGCACTGCAGCAATTCAAAAGGAACATTATCATTTTAAATTAAAAGGTCTGTTGTATAAAAAAAAAAAATTCTCATGCATTCTAGATTTGTAATTTTCTCTTCCAAGAAGATATATTTTACCAGAGTCAAATGCTGGACTGTGACCATAGGACACGTCACTACCATTAGCTAAATACTCCTAGCACTGGGTTCTCCTACTTAAGATACAAGCAGATCCATCTTCGGAAACAGATGTTTCTAGTTCTTTAATTCTGGCCAAGGCATGTATATTTTACATCAGTTTTGAACACAGATTGAAAAATCATGATTTTTTGCAAGGGCAATATACTCTGTGACTTAGTAAGATATCTTTGTAGTAGATTAGTTTTTAAAAAAGGATGTGCATGAAATATGATTTTTAATTAAGAGAAAACAGACTGCAGTGAATGGATAATGCCGAACACTGTGAATAAGCTCGCTCTTTCTCACACCTTTAAGTCTTCCATGAATACTCTTTAATTTATACTCATAAGAATGTTATGAAGAGAGAGATTATTATCCTGTCTCAGGTACAGACCAAATAAGAGGAGCAAAAAGATTAAGTACTTTGTAAAAAGCCACGAAGGCTGCAGCACAATGTACCTAGAAACTCGGGTATGAACCACTTAAGCAGAGCTCACTCCACCAGACCCCACTCTGCATTCCAATGATGATATCCCCTAAAGGATGCAAGTTGGGCAGAACTGAGATTCATAGGCCACCATCTTAGCAGCTGGCCAGGAGGGTACCCAGTGATTCCCACATACTTCTAGGCAGCTGCCAGGCTCACCTGACTCTCACAGCTCTCCACACATGTCAGCTGTAGAGTATGGTGGTTAGCTGATAACCAGCTTACAGAACATTATGGAGCTCCATTTTTCCAAGTCATCAATAGTGTTACTCACTTTTTTTGATCTCTTCTAGCTTCTCAATGTATTTCGTCATACTGTTACCTAAAAAGAAGGAAGAATTTTAGATATGCTATAAATGGAAGAAAATGAGTAACACTGTGAAAACAGAATGGAAAACAAGTACTTCCTGAGCATCCATGGCCTGTTCCTATGGGATTTTGGACAGTGGGCCAATGGGCCATACACAGTAAACAGCCTTTTGGATTACACAGCATCATTAAAAGTTCTGGAACTGAGGAAAATGTTTTGGTTAAATGCATTTAAGCTAGGGTTTATCCCCGGAAAAACATTTAGCAGTCTCAGAAAATACTAATGATTATTTATATCCATTTTTTCCCCTTTTTGAGTGAAAGCTCTCTACCTCCCTATACCCCCTTGTCTGTTTGTGGGGAAGATACATAGAGGACCACCAAAAAAAGAAGCAATTTTCTTTGAATGTCTGAAGTGTGCCCTTGTGGCTACCCAAGCAACCCTTTCCTCTCTGCTTTGTCTTTGTGGTCTCCTCCTCTTTCCTGAACTTGGTCTTCACTATTCATGCTGATGTTGCAGCCTGAACTAGACCACACAGTTTGGATGCTAGTATTCACCCTAGGCTTGATTTGCTGAGAAATAACAGCAGGTTCCCACCACTATGGAGAGTCCCCAGCCCTCATGTTTTATGGTCTGGTTCTATAATACTAGGTTCTAGCCAAGGTGGTTTGGAGAGTTTTCATACTTTAAAACTGGGCCAGAATCATTCTGGTTTTCAAATGAATTAAATTCTAGCTCTCAAGCCAGGGACTATTATTTTTTACTGGGCATGCTACAATTTGATTCAATTCAGCACAGCAAGCTCTATCTGGCACCTAAAAGTATGGCAAAAGAAAAACATTCAAAATAATTTCAATTTCTAAAATTGTGCTCTTAACATTAAGTCTTGAGAGGGCTAAATCTTACTAGGCTAAATCTAACTAGATCCCAAGTTCTGATCAAAGAAATGCTTCCAATTAATGACATGGATTGATGTTTTCAAGGACTATTTTAAACTTTTCTTCATGTTTGGGTCAGAGCAATGAGAGAAAAACCTTGCTCTGAAAACCCAACTACATTGTCAAAACACAACTTACTTCATTTGTTGTTATAAATTTTCTATCACGAATTCATTATGGAATAAAAATCTACTGTTTTATTTTTCATTTTAAGACATACACTCTTTTTTTTTTTTTTGGTACTGGAGATTGAATTCAGGGGCACTCAACCACTGAGCCATATCCCCAGCCCTTTTATGTATTTTATTTAGAGACAGGGTCTCACTGAGTTGCTTAGGGTCTCATTGACTTGCTTAGCACCTCACCGTTGCCGAGGCTGGCTTTGAACTTGCAATCCTCCTGCCTCAGCTGCTGGGATTACAGGCATGTGCCACTGCTCCTGGCAAGACATACACTCTTTATCAGGACTAGAAACAAAGATTCAGTGTAGTCCTAGACCCACACTGTGTTCTTCCAGAAGCTGAGAGAGAGATGAAGTCAGTTAGGACTACTCAGAAGGCCTGAGGCTTCTCAAAAGAGATGTATGGTCAGAAGAGGCACAATAACCACCAAAGAACTGATTAAAACCAAATATGATCTTTTCTAGGTTCTTCAGCCTACAATTGACCTAAGAAGTGATCAGAACTCCAGAGGAAAAAAAAAACATAAATTTTTCCTGGACTTACACATCCCTCCTCCCCACTGCAACTCTAAACTTCTAAACTTGGGCATGGAGTTACCTGATCAATGGAATGAGAGAAGACTACAGCAAATCAGTATGCTGTTCAGCTTCCCACCACCTTATTCTTAAACTATTTCAGAGGAGCTTTTGGTTGTATGTCCCTGACTCCCCAACAGCTGCACAGTGTTGATGTGGTGGTTGGTGCCTTTGGCTAGGGAAGCTTCAGGCAGTCCAGTCAGAAATTTGGAAATAAATTTCTCCAGTGACACAGCAAGATAGTAACTAAGCCAGGTCCATTCCCAATCTCCCGGTTTCTAATACGGCTCACAAAACACCTGGCTTTTCTAGCTCTGTTGTTTTATTAGTATTTACTCATTTTTGCAGTATTACAAATTGAACCCCCTCCCTGTCTCCACCCCCCCAAAAAAGAAATTGAACCCTACCATTGAGCCACGTCCCCAGCTCTTGTGTTTTAAAAACACAATTCATTGTGAGGTAAACTTGTAGGAAGTGCCACTTCCTAGACCAAAAGAGGTGGGGACCATCTGATGTTAATTCCCTGAGGGATGGAAAATAGCAGCCAACCTCATTTATACTGTCTTTATTATTAAAAGAGTTCATTTCCAAATGACAGTGGTTTCTACTAACGAAGTGTCTAAAATTAATTTCCTTATTAATTATCAACATTTTCAGTATATTTATACAGCACTCCATCTTGCATCAGCAGACCCTCCCGCAAGGCTCTGAGGTAAGCTGTGCCGCCTACCTTTCGTTTTCCTACCAAAGGAGATGACAGACAAGATCTTTTGCAGTTATGCAGATATTTGGCAAATTTATGAAAAATTCAAGAGGGCCATTAATAAGAAGCTCTTTTTATTACAGACATTCATTCTATCTAAGTGTGGAAGAGAAAAGTTTGGAGGAGAAAAGGAAAGGGAGAGTTTCCATATTGCTTCTATTAGGATGACTGACCCCAAATCAACACAAAATCCCTAAATGTGATTTTAGAAAGTATAAACAGAGGCGTTGTATCCTACTGTACACACTTATATGTTAACTAAGTGCCTTATCCAACTATATCTAATTGCATCAGAAAATAGTTTTTTAAAAAATATTTATTTTTGGTTGTAGATTGACACAATCTTTATTTATTTTTATGTGGTGCTGAGGATTGAACCCAGGGCCCCAGATGTGCCAGGCAAACACTCTACCCCTGAGCCACAACCCCAGCTCAGAAAATAGTTTTTGACTACCTTTTAAAAAGACTGGAAGAGAATCAACTTCATAATTCACTTATTTATAAACACATTTTAATATGTAAAAGGAGTCTTAAAAACTACCAGAGAGCTAATTTTTTAAAAATATTTGAAATTATACATTACTGCCAAATTTTGCTAGATAAGACTAATTTAAAAGAAAAAAGACAGAGGCTCTCCATTACTCACTGTCTAAAACTTCTTGCTCTACTACTGAAGATGCCAACTTACCCACCTCCTTCAGTGTTGCCTTAATTATTAAACTTGACAAACTTCCTGTCAGCCTTAGGTTCTCTAACATAATACCTTGTTAGCTCACCCAGCAGGAAGCAACCCGCTCCCTCCTCTGAACTCCTAAAGCACTGGCTTACCACTCACAAAGCATCTGTCACTGGACTGGATTAGTTTTATGTACTTTATTCAATGCAGAGTCCAAGATTATTTATCTGTGCACATGAACACATACACTCACAACCTTTATACCTCCCATTGTCTAGTGGAGGAGATGCTCAAAAATATTTGCTGAATGGAATATACTATAAGGATCTACCCTTTGAAAAATCCTAATAGTAAGTTGTTTAATAATGTAAATAATCACGTTCTAATCTGGCTTGAGTTTTTGCACAGCTGATTTTATTTAAACTATGCACAATTTGATATATAAACAATTATGTTTTGTTTGGACTACTCATATGACCGATATTGACTCAGGCAACTGAGAAGTACATAAAGTGGTATTTGGCTTCTGCCTTCTTACAACTTTAAGTTGCAATGAAAGATACGTAACAAAAGTTTTACAATTAGAATCAAGAGAAAGGAACAATTCAACTCTATCAATAGTCCTGTGCAAAGGTAGAGTACAATTGATTAACCGAGTGACTCATTCATTAGACATTTTTTCCATTGCGGCTCTATAATTTAATAACATTATTTGTACTAAGCCTGTAAGAAAAGCCAGTGATTCTGAGCAGCAGTAATCTAAGGTGGGTAAGATTTATAAGGCATGAACTCAGTTGCTAAGAGACAACTCTAAGGCTTTATTTTTCTTCAATATTTCCCTCCTCTGAGGAGAAGTTCTTTTGGTTCAGAATTAGCAGAAAGCGTGAAAAGAGGCACAGTGGTCCTTTGTTAACCTCAATAAGTTCTACGTGTGTATAGTGCACCCTGGTTTGTAAAAGCCTTTCACATACATCTCTTCCTTTGACGTAAGAGACAGAATTAAATCCCAAATAAAAATGAAGAGCACCCAGTGTATAATGAGTTTGAATGCTTAAGATCAAGGCTATTAGCAAGTATTCAGGAAAAGTAAAAACTAAAGAAGAATAAAGGAAATGAAATATTCTAGTTTATGCAGAAATAAAGGAAGGAAAATTTTATAAAAATAAAAATAAGCAAAGACTGAATGGAGAAAGTTTGCAAAATTTGGAAAGTGCAAAGAAATGTGAAATGAGATTGAATATAGACTGCAGTAAGAGGTAATGCATCTGGCAGAAGAGTTAGAAGAGACTAATAAAGGGAGAGCCCTGTGGCTTGGGAAGTGTCCCTTAATCAGTCTGCAGCACTGCAGAACAGAAACCCTGTGAGGGTGCTTGAGAACATACAAGAGCCCTGCCGAGCTGGCTGAACAAAATGCCGGCAGGGGTTTCGTCAGGAGCATAATCCACTCATGGCACGGTTTGGCAGTGCTGGGGAGCTGGGAAGATACACTCAGGCACCTACAGAATAAAAGAAATGTTGGAAGTTCAAAATAATTCTGAGTTTTCTAGCCATGGTTGTACATCAGTGTTCAGGTTTCTATGAGGAGACAGAAGTAAAGGAACAAAAAATAATCTTTATGTAGAAGGAAAATATCAGTTTCTGAAGAATTCAGCAGATGATTTGGGTGAAGATCAGAGATACTTGATTCTTGATAGAATTCTTGATTTGTGATTAACTCTGAATTGCTCACTGGTAAGAAAAGATTAAAGACCCATCCATTTAGCCTTGAAATAGGAAATGCTCATTCATTCCTGTGCCTACTTCCTCTGACTGCAGAGCTTAAAAACATTCTGTATATGAGGACTCCTAACTCTTACTTGGGCTCTAAAGTCTCTCCTG